GCGGATCCCTTACGAATTTTTTATATAGATTAGACTGTTGGTTTTCCTGTTTGAATTGTTTTAAACTAGTCTTTTTGGGGCCCTATATAGCTTGCTGTTCGGTGTGAGCCAAGGCTCCGTGTTGAAGGCTGTACTTAAACCTATAATTGTCTACTTTTTACACATTGTGACTTGGATGGATAGTTGTCTCATTGGCACTCATACCACATCTTCTTATTTATATGAATAATGACTTTGGTGATCCTGAGAAAGACACTTCATTTAGGAGGCAAGACAAGTGCAGTATCAATACTGAATAATTACTTTGGTGATCTTGAGTAAGACACTTCATTTAGGAGGCAAGACAAGTGCAGTATCAATACTGAATAATTACTTTGGTGATATTGTGTAAGACATTTCATTTGGGAGGCAAGATATAAGTGCAGTATCAATACTGAATAATGACTTTGGTGATCTTGAGTAAGACACTTCATTTGGGAGGCAAGATAAGTCCAATAGCAATACTGAATAATTATTTTGGTGATCTTGAGTAAGACACTTCATTTGGGAGGCAATATAAGTGCAGTATCAATATTGAATAATTACTTTGGTGATCTTGAGTAAGAACACTTCATTTGGGAGGCAAGATATAAGTGCAGTATCAATATTGAATAATTACATTAGTGATCTTGAGTAGAACACTTCATTTGGGAGGCAAGATATAAGTGCAGTATTGATACTGAATAATTACTTTAGTGATCTTGAGTAAGACACTTCATTTGGGAGGCAATATAAGTGCAGTATCAATACTGAATAATTACTTTGGTGATCTTGATAAAGAACACTTCATTTGGGAGGCAAGATATAAGTGCAGTATCAATACTGAATAATTATTTTGGTGATCTTGAGTAAGACACTTCATTTGGGAGGCAATATAAGTGCAGTATCAATACCGAATAATTACTTAGGTGATCTTGAGTAAGAACACTTCATTTGGGAGGCAAGATATAAGTGCAGTATCAATATTGAATAATTACTTTAGTGATCTTGAGTAAGACACTTCATTTGGGAGGCAAGATATAAGTGCAGTATCGATACTGAATAATTACTTTAGTGATCTTGAGTAAGACACTTCATTTGGGAGGCAAGATATAAGAGGAGTATCAATACTGAATAATTATTTTGGTGATCTTGAGTAAGACACTTCATTTGGGAGGCAAGATAAGTGCAGTATCAATACTGAATAATTACTTTGGTGATCTTGAGTAAGAACACTTCATTTGGGAGGCAAGATATAAGTGCAGTATCAATATTGAATAATTACTTTAGTGATCTTGAGTAGGACACTTCATTTTGGAGGCAAGATATAAGTGCAGTATCAATATTGAATAATTACTTTAGTGATCTTGAGTAAGACACTTCATTTGGGAGGCAAGATATAAGTGCAGTATCGATACTGAATAATTACTTTAGTGATCTTGAGTAAGACACATCATTTGGGAGGCAAGATATAAGAGGAGTATCAATACTGAATGATTATTTTGGTGATCTTGAGTACGACACTTCATTTGGGAGGCAATACAAGTGCAGTGTCAATACTGAAAAATTACTTTAGTGATCTTGAGTAAGACACTTCATTTGGGAGGCAAGATATAAGTGCAGTATCAATACTGAATAATTACTTTGGTGATCTTGAGTAAGACACTTTATTTGGGAGGCAAGATATAAGTGCAGTATCATGACTGAATAATTACTTTGGTGATCTTGAGTAAGACGCTTCATTTGGGAGGCAAGACAACTGAAAAACTAAAAATTAATTGGTACTTTGGACATTGATATAATTTGAGCAGTTAGGCATATGAAATAAAAACCTTTGAATTTTTAATTAAGACAAGTTAAAACGTGACAAGTGTAATCACATTGGTTAGCTGTAGTAGAGATATCAGTGAGCAGAAGCTCTAGTTCAACTTGTTAGACCTGTAGCGGTAAATACCTTTCATTTATGTATCAGTACAATTGAAAATGTTGAGAGTGGAAACCTTCATTCAGTTTTATCAAACTTTCTAGAAGTCACTACCAATGGTAAAAAAAGGCCCAAATCTGTTTTGCAGTGGAAATGTCTTTTCAATTTAGAAATTGTATCCCATTATTGGTAAGGGCATAGTAATACTACATTTTATATTTCATTTGACAATATGTGATATGAAAGGACCTGGTATGAACCATTGAAACAAAACCTATGGTGTATTAGAAAGTTTGTGATGACAATTAAAAATAAGTATGATTCGGGAATAGGATTTCAATGTCTGGTTAGGATATTCAACAATTATGAAATGATTCCATGGGACAAATCAAATAGGAATGCAAATGCAATGAAAAGGCTTTATTATGTTAATTTAGAATGTACATGGTTAAGGGGTTGGGTTATGGAACTATTTTGTGATATTTAACAATTTACAACACAGAGGGACAGCGCATGACATAAGGGGACAAAGCATATGGTGCATTGGAAAGTTTATGACAATTAGAATATATATTGGTTAGGGGGTGGACATCTGATACTACCAATAGTAGAGTACTTAGTGCTAGAAATGTCTTCAATTTAGAATATGCATGTGTATATGCAATTATTGGGCATGGGGTGGTAATTCTACATTTTTAAATTATTTGACAATATGTGATATGAGAGGAACTGGCATGAACCCTTGAAACAAAATCAAAGGTGCGTTGGAAAGCTTATGACAATATATATGGGTAAGGGGTGGACATCTGAAGGCTTTCAATATTTTAACAATTTATGATGCAAGGAAAAAACTTATAGTGCAATGAAAGGTCTTGTCATGACAATTAACAATATATAATGATTATGGTCGAGGAACAGTAAATGGGCGGGGCTATGTCACATATTTTGATAAAATTTTGCAAACAACTTTGGCTCGTTGAACTATAACTGAAAATTGAAAAAATAATGCATTTATCTCTTTTATTGTCTGTAATATTGCTGACTGAAGTATTTCAAAATAGGTGAACATTTATTTAGAAAGCACATAAAATGTATGCAAAATTTTACATAAATCTGTGACATAATCCATTTATTGTAACTTGACCTTAAGTGATGGGATCTAAATGATTTTCCCTGGCCTGACACACAACCTATGGTGCACTAAAGAGGCATCATTTGCGAAAGAGAATATAATATGCAAAGGTTAGAAACAAACCTTAAAGTGCACTAGACAGGCAAACAAGAATAAACATTGTTTGGGATGGACATTAAAATGTTAACAAAACTAAATCATTGACGACTGGACAGTTGTCTTTATGTAATGTACAAACTGGCTTAATATCAAACGTGTGTGTCAAAGGATAAATTAGTTACGACCTGCCATACAGAGAATTTGTTTCTTTTTCAATTTGATCTTGGGATCAAAGATCAAGGTCACATAAATATGAGAATATGCAACACATCGTTTTTGTCTCGCCTGCGTCGAAAGTTAAAGAATGCGAGACATAGGGATTAAAGGACGTGGAGAGGTAAACATTGAGCGCTGAACCTTATCCTTAACTTCGGAAAGTTGTGTAACAATACCGTACAACAGTAGAACAAACTATAACCATAATTTGCAGAGGACTTCGGCCATCAGATGGGTACAAAATACAAAACAAACAAACAAAAAACAACTTACAAAATGACGAACACTAGCGGTTACTGAAAGCTATTTCAAGTCCAATTGCATCATCATGTTTTCCTAGACTAAATGTAAACTGTCCTGTTGAGGCATTTCATAAATAAAATTCTCAAATGTATAAATTGCAAGCTAAATACACGTACTATTTGGATATTTGTGCGTGTTTTATCCATTCATTTTTTATGATATATCAAGATTTTTCCATCTTACTAAATTTACTTTACTAGAGGTTATTATTGGTTTGTAAACGGGGCAGATTAACTCACAGACTTGAAGAGCGACGGACTTCAATTTTCTGTAAAGTTTTGAGTTAGCGGATTATTTTTCACACCAAATACATAGAAAAAGTGTTTAATCCTTTTAATTTCTCAATCCAAACTGTATTTGTTTTCTTTCAATTTCAACTTTCCCTGTTTCCCAGGATTCCGAGTGTATTGCACATGAATATATCGCAGTGAAATCGACATGGTGGTATATATACTAGTAGTTCCTGCATTATGGTCTATGGAAGTGTAAACCAAATAACGAAATTATAACAGACCAATCACATTCAAGTATAAGTAGATATTCAAATCATATCATCGGGAAATTATACCAGCTGGTGACGAAACTTCTTTGTCGAGCTGGCCCGGGTTGTCTTTTGTGGAGTGTATTTTTTAGCTAGTGAAAAACACAATTATTTATTTTTTCAACGGAAGTATGAAAGGATTTTTTTCTGAATGCATGTACACTATAAATGTACAGGAATAATGTGACTAACAAATAACTGTTTCTTTCCTGGGCAGATAAACTAAAAAAATGCCAGCAGATTTTGGAACAGACTTTCATAAATTATACCTTATGTTTTCTCGTTTGAATTGTTTTATATTTTGTCATGTCGGTGCCGTTAATAGCTTACTATACTGGTATGAGTTTTACACATTGTGAAGGCCGTACGGTAACCTATAGTTGCTTACTTCCATGTACGTCATATAGACTTTGGTGTATACTTGTCTTATTGGCAATCATATCGCATCTCCTTGCCTATGAGTTTTACACATTGTGAAGGCCGTACGGTAACCTATAGTTGCTTACTTCCATGTACGTCATATAGACTTTGGTGTATACTTGTCTTATTGGCAATCATATCGCATCTCCTTGCATATGAGTTTTACACATTGTGAAGGCCGTACTGTAACCTATAGTTGCTTACTTCCATGTACGTCATATAGACTTTGGTGTATACTTGTCTTATCGGCAATCATATCACATCTCCTTGCCTTTTTCTTATTTAAAAAAATCCCAGACAACCTCTCACTAATAAAAAAACGGTGGCCGTCGTATAAATATAAAATAGTTAACGAATGCATTTATATATGTAATATGTTTATTGGGAAATTTGGTTTGATCGAAATGTTGTTGCTTCTTCATAGCTTGGTGGACCGTCTGTGAATTCCTTTGTCTGGTTATATAGTGTCGTATTCATTTTCCTGGACGCCCCGCTTGTTGTCCTCTTGTCGGTAAAATGTACACCTGGAGATGATACTAATCCAGAGCAACCACTGTGATTGTATGGTACTGTTCCTTGGAAAATAAAAAGGAAAGCATCAAGTTACATTTCAGACACATATACGTAGTGTTTATGCTTTTTTCCGAGTTGACAAGAGTCACAAACATATTTCTTTAAAAAATCTAGTGAACCATCCTCTGCATGCATGATTAGCCCCATGTATGAAACAAGTGCTGTCGAAATTCGTGTCCCTTTTTTGGCAAAATGTCCCTTAAAATCGATAAAATTGAAAAAAGAAAAGCCTGATAATCAGTTAGATTGTATCGGCAAAATATAAGTTCCTGTTATAGTGCACGCGTTCATTTTTTACACGACAAAGAACACGCATTTTCCCATTCCATATGTTTTTAGTTTGAAAATTTAAGATAAAAAAATTATGGAGAAAAAATGCTGAAGAATGTGTAACTGAGTAAGTAGTATGTATTAAACATGAAATAAAAAAAAAAAACAACGATGTAGCATAAATGCCAGTTAATGTTCTTTTGTTTCTTCTGACAACTTACCACATTCTTTTCTTGTAACCAAATCAATATTCCGTGAAGTGAAACCTTTTCTATCCCCACACCAAATCATGACACATCTTTTCCAAGCCCAGACAGCTACCATAATAAACAGAATCGATGAACACATGGTAAAAATGGTCAAATTTAGCTGTGCACTTTCATCACAGCAATATTCTTCCGGTTTTTGTCCACAACATCCACCCATACAAGGAAAAACATTTGGAACTTCGAAAGCATTTTCACAGTTTTCAGGTTCTATACTGTATTCTGGTTCCATGTTCATGTGTTGTGCAAATTGTTTACTGAAACGTTAACGTCATAAACGTTTCAGGGTAAATTGAATTCTGCAGAAACGTTGACTTCCCGCTAAAACGTATTCTACAAAATATTTTAATTCCCAAAAATATTTTTTTCTTAATTCGTAAAGGTATTTTTAACACGTGTAATTCGGTACTTTTAGTCTAACGTTATAAAACTCATTAGTTATCTTCTTTCGGCGTCATAAAATAAAAAGAAGTCACGTGGTTGGTTACTGAAATTGCTTCAGTTTCTCTTATAAGAGCCAATTCATGATGAAGTGACAAGTTATGCTAAACGTTTATACAAATATGCAAGACGAGAAAACTGTATCTGACCATGATAAGGAAAGCACGAGCAAAACGAACAATGATGGATATCCAAAGGCGGCTGAAACTCAGGCATGGGTCAAATCGAAAAAGGAAAAAGGAAAAAGCTGCTGTTCAGTAAGATTTTTTTTTAAAATTATATTAAAAAAAGACTATGTGTTGCTTTGTTACAACAATCATTAACCATACATAGGGAGATATCATAAATGTGTAGCTTTATTTGCAGAAATTGAAGGTTTAAATGAAATATTTTTTAACTTATGATATTGTGAGATGGTTGTGCCTAAAAGTAAAAAAAATATCTTGTATTTACGATTGTATTCTGGTGCGTCTACATTATATAAACATAAATCATACGTTATTGGACCTCTTACTATATATATTTGGTATTTTTGATTTTTGTAAGCACACATTTCCATTATGCATGGCTAACCCACTGGTTGTTGTTCTAAATTTACAGCTTCGAAGATGTTTTGCTGCAATCGGCTGTTGTTGTACGGTGAAGAAAAGGACGAAAATCAAAAACAAAATAGACAGCGATAAAAAATCTCTTACTTCTCAAGAAGTAAACGGTATGTCAAAATGATATCAGTATAAATATAATCTCTTTTGACTTCTCCCGTCAGGCAGTTTGACTATTCTTTGAATTGGGGAACGTCCGTTCGATTGAGGTGATGTATACACATGCAAAACAAAACTAGGATTATATCGTTTTTTTTTCCATCTTTACTACCAGTTACCAAGATCAATAAAGTTGTTTGCCTCTTTCTTTCTTTTCTTATCGACCGTACTTGATTAAGGTTATCTCACAAACAAGTGTCGTAAACCCTAAAATCGTTGAGTGAGTTAAACAAAATAATTTTTTTTTCGAAATACTAAGGATTTTCGACCCCAGTAATAGATTACCTTAGTTGTATTTGGCAGAACCTTTCGGAACTTTGGGTCCTCAATGCTCTTCAACTTCGTACTTTATTTGGCCTTTTTTACTTTTTCGATTCGAGCGTCACTGATGAGACTTTTTATAGGAAACGCGCGACAAAATTTTAATCCTGGTATCTATGATGAGTTTATTTATAATACCAAACACTTACAACAAATCGTACTAGACTGCAAAATATCAATAATCAAAATTATCGCTGCTTTCGAATAAAATTTCCTTTCAAAAAGCCATTATTTGAACACTTGGCAATTTTAAAATGTATAGATTGTCGTACATGAGGATCTGGATGATATTTATAGAATAGAGAATAGCGGGCTATAGAAAAACTGACCAAAAAATACAGAAATGAAGGACCTCCCATCCAGACCCTCATACCTGTTGAAGAATACGGTCATTGCTTAGTTCAATAGACACATGCACATTGACGTTTTATCAACCACATTCCAAATGATATGATATTCGCGTTTACACACACCTGCGTTGTGCGTTTAAAGGAATGAGTCTAGTCCACCAATTTTCTTATTGCAGAATTTATTGAAGAGGAAATGAAAAAGCTGTCAGAAGAAACAATCAACCTAGAAAGTTAATAACCATTGGGATGTTACTATTAAATTATGAAAATAAATTAGAATTGTGTTGTTATACAGCGGTTCCATAATACAAATTAACAGTAGAAACACCCACTGTGCTTGACTAACCGATTGAAATTATGATACTTATATTTCCATGCTGTTAAAACAATGTTGAAATCTTTACATTTTTGCTAATATAATCGCATAAAAATTATCACAATCCACAATAAAAAAGATTTTCTCAAGCATGATTGAAAAGCTGAAATGTCACGCCTGCTTTTTCTGATCATGATTTAATTTCATGTAAAAGTCGTTAAGATACAGGTTCTGCAACATGTATCACATAAACTTAACATGGTAATTGCTCAATGAAAATGAGGTCAAGGTCACTTGAACCTTGCCTGACGAACATGTACACTTGGAAGTCATTTTCCACACACAAAACATTTATAAGTTGACCAGTTGGTTTTAGTAACCGAGAACGGATCCAACCATGCAAACATAATGTTAACCAAAGAACCATGATAATAAGGTCAGGGTCAGATGAACCCTGCCAGACCGATATATACTGCTTACAATCATTCAATACACAAAATATAATTGAATTATTGCTTTTAGTATCTGAGAATACGACCTAACCACAAAAACTTAACAGTGACCAATAAATCATGAAAGTTAGGGCAACTCGAAGAAACCTTGCCAGACGGACACTATAGTGTAACATCTTACAATCATTTCATACACCAAATATAGTTGACCTTTTGATTACAGTATCTGTAAGCAAAACAGAATTCAGTGGAAAAACTTTAAGGTGGTACCCAACATCTTGACTAAAATTAATTTGGCTCGTTTAATTTTCATAAAATTTTGACATAATGTTTACTTTGACCCTTTGATAAAAATTTCAAAGAATTTGAACCAACCACTTTGTCAGAAAAATTTCGTTGGTTATATAGCAGTTTGACAAACACTAATTTTGATCATTGAGAAGCGTAATATTTCCTTAACAATACAACGTAATTAAAACGTTTAGCTGATTTTTACAGAGTTATCTCCCTGTAGTGTTAGGTACCACCTTAAATTGATCATTGATCCATGATAATGAGCCCAATGTTATATGTTTTCCTTTATTTACGGTGTTCGACATCAATCCGCACTGCGGATCATTCGTCATATGAATGCATATATACACGTATATAATATTCATCAGCTACTAAAATAAACCAACCAGCGATAGCAAGGGCAAACCGACTAGACATTAAATACCCTACAGCTACCGGATAACAGGGGCAACCTGTAAATATTGAGTGCTTCAGGTTAAAACGTGATGCTTGTATTTATATTCCTGTTGTAATATTTTCTTATTAGATGAGTAAGCAAATCAAATATATGTAATTTACCCAGACAACTTGTATTTATCTTCAGATAAACGCAATGTACTTGTTTATATTTATGTACTCCGTGTAACTTAATAAAGGGTCAAAAGGTCAGACCAAATATCCAACTAATTTGACTTGATATTTTTACCCTAGTATCAGTGTCAACTCGGTATTCAGATGGTCAAAGCACAAAATCTATATTTCTCAAATAATCAGTAACACATTTCCGTAAAGTTTATTTTATGCCGGTCATTTTCCACTCTATAAATTCCAGCAGTATGCATATAATAAGTCAATATAAGTCAATGAGACTTCGAATCAACAAGAAACATTGTTAACAGGACTGCCATGTTGCACATACAGTCAAGACAATGGACTTTTTTTTTATCTACCATTGATTTCTTTCCTTAACTATAAGACATTCTCGGACGAAGCCTTTATTCTGTTTGTTTGTATAATTGTTGTTGTTTTTCATTGTTCATTGTTCAAGACGTTTTCAAATTTAAGGATGTTCGCTACTCTGTTTCAAAATAACCAGCTTTTTAAAAGACTGTTATCAATAGATAGTATTTAAATACAGAAACTAATAAAGCAGAAAAAAAATGAAAGGTCCGTGTGCTTGTTTTCGAAATATTTTCTCTAGTCTTTTGTTACATTTAACACTGGCACCTTTTTTCTTTCAAAAACTATGAAAAAAAAACAAGGATTTTATAAGATTTTCAAATATGGCTTTTTAAACTATACTTAATAAAATTATGAAAAGAAAAGTAAAGGTTAGCGGGCAAAATATTTATTAACACTACGTTGATAAAACCAGAGGATTCCGAATATCTGACAAAAATTCAAAAACAAGAGGAGCTTGAACATCCTTAATTAACGTCAAAACAAACTTTGGTTCGTTCAACATATATTCAAGATTTGTTATTTGTTAAATAGGCTATCGTTTTAAGTTCACGTGGACTTTTTTGGACTGAATAAACCAAAGATAAGTTTACAAACCAGATTAGAATGATAACCATGTTTACAATCAAACTGTTGTATTATTAGAATGTAGATTTTCAATTTAAGAAGATAACATAAAATCCTGATAAACGCATTATTGTCAGGTATTACGTTGTGATTTTGTACATGTAGCAAGAGATTCCATTTAGTGTGAGTATAAACAATAATTTCTTATAATTTTCATTTAGCATAGTAAAAAAACATGAGACTCCGTACTTTTTTTAAAAAAAACTTGGAAACAATAAAACTATGTTGTACATCAATTTGATTACACATGTTTTACAGCCAAGGGTTTCGCTTTTTTGGCCCGGAAAGAATCATTCCGCTAGAAATCTCAAACAAATATTTGGCTCTCTTTTATTTTTTTATGTTTTGAAATGAAGAATATAAGATCGAAATAGAAATCCTCCGCTGAATATGTAAATAATTATTAAAAAATTAATATGAATTAGTTTTTCCAAATAATTAAAAAGCAAGAAAGAGGTGCAGTATTGGCAGTTATAGCAGATGGCCGATTTCAGGTTACTAGTCACATGACTTAGATTGGTTGCCATTGAAAAACACAAATGGATGAAAAAGCGCAACATGTCATTAGTAAAACAAGAAATAAATTTAGTTTCGACAGTTTATTTTTGGTATATTTTTATTGAAAAAATATCTGCTGATCTTGGTAAGTGAGCTCCTTATAAGCACAACAACTGAGAAAATATCCTTTATGAGGTCAATGTATTGTAATCAGTGGATGAAATACTATTTATTTTAATGTATGCAAGTGCTTCAAAGTAACCAATAATCAACAGATGTGGGTTAGAATAAAATGTCAAAAAGTCTTGAAATTAAAAAAAAATAGACGTTAAGGGGAACATAAAACATAGTGTAGGATCTAGGATTTTCAAAAGGGGAGGCATAATTGGTAGAATTCTGACAGTTAAAATGTCTATGCATGAACCGTTATTGCAGCCAGTTAATAAATGATGATGCACATTAAAAATCAGGTAGTTCAACATAAAATTCATGTATATCAATAATTTTATCTGCAATATAAAATATTCAATAATGAAACAAAGATGTCATAAACTAATGACAACAAATGTTTAAAGCAACACAATTTTTATCGACCATCCTTATGATAAAAAAATTAAAAAAATTTTGCTCTTATCAGAACTTAATCACGAATTACGCGGATATTAAAATAGCCATTCGATAATGCACGGTTCAAAGGTATTAAGTTGTCACATGATCTGCATACACAGCCCTTGTGATCCAAATACCAACGAGTAAATGATTCAAAATTCTGCGAAACGTATAATACAGTAAGTCTTTAATTTCACCAATAAAATTCCTTACCATTTTATAAATAGTATTTATTTACTTAATTTCTGCCATATTTCAAAGTTCTATTTTTTTTTACATTTTTCCTTACCTTTTAAATTTTGGTGTTTTTTTACTCTCAGGACTGCTTTACTCGTATACGGTTCCTGTGTAGACAAGGGTTATAAATTTACATGTAGGTTTGAGGAAGAATACATATACAAACAAACATTTGACATAAATATGTGATTTCGTGAAGAATGGAACATATGTTTAAGCTTGGCACAGTCTTCGATTTTGAACGAAACATGGAAAAAGGCTTTTTGTAAAAAAAAAAAACAAACAACTTCTTAATAACACGTTGCAGGGATAACATTTCTGAATCAGCAAAAAAAAAACCGACGTAAACAAAATGTCAGAAAACCCGTTGCAACACTGATGACAACAAATGAAATAAAGGCTCGCAAATACGTTTAACGAGTAAAGTTCCAGCACGAAAACAAGTTAAATAAACGTTTGTTAACGTTTGGCATGAATAGTATCTAAGCCCGAAACGAAGTGAAATATTTTCAAGGCTAGCAAACACGTTGCATAAATAACATTTTTGCACGAAAAAAGGAATAAATGTTCGAAATCGAAAACACGTTGCACGAATTACCGCTTTACACTCTCATAGAACATAGACGTCATGTTTTTGGCTTTAGAATTTACTATCTAAAGGCATTGAACTACAGAGAACAAAAAAATATTTTGCTATTTTGCTGTTGTATTTTTTTTTCTTAAGGTGTTGAGTCATATGAAAGTAAATTAATTCACTGTTAAAAAAATGAAAACAAACACTTTACAAACTTCATGTGTCCGAAGCTCTTTTCTTTATTTACCTTCGTCAGGAACTCTCAAAGCTGAATATTTGAAAGCCAAGCATGTATAAGAATAGTTAAATAGCTATATGACCAAAAAGGTCATTGTTTTAAGTTTTGTTTTGAATGTTGTTGTTTATCAAGGGTAATTAATTTTCTACGTTCGTATAGAAGGAAGTTTAGAGTACAATTTAATGAGTCAGGAGACAAATAACATAAGTTCACAGAATAGTGATATTTTAAAGTACATAATACAATCTCAAGTGGTTGACACTCGCATAACATATATAACAATCCTTATATGTAGTCTAGGCATGAATTCAAGAGTCGCCAAAACAACTGTCATCAATACCAGATTCACAAAAAAAGATCAAAAGATCACAAAATGTTTAAAAAAATAACAAGATATGCATAGTATTTTTCATCGTTTTGGTTTTGTACATAATTTTAAGCAAGCTTTTTTAATTTATGGCAGATATTACGTCAGACATGGGTTTGGTCGAGTATATACATCCTTATCTAGCAGAAGCGGACTATAAAAAGACATCCGTTAAACTAACTTTCATTTTTTCATCATTCATTTTCTACTCACTTCTTTACATTTTTTCTCACGTTTTTGGAAGTGGGACGCGTACTTATAACAATCTTACTAAAAAGGAAAAAGTCTTTTGGAATTTAGCTGTCGTTCGTGCAATATATGGGATTTTCTGTACTGTCATTGGGATCTGGGCTATATTTGTGGACGAAGAGCTGGAGAAAGATGTTGTTTTTGCTACAACTCCTACAAGTTATTTTGCTCTGACAGTTACGGTAGGATTTTTTATTTTCGAATGCTCTGCAATAATTATTTCCGATATTATATACCGGAAGTTCAGTTTTCTGTTAAACCTTCACCATTGGCTTTCTCTTGTTGGATACAGTGTTTTGATGATCGTTGAAAGCAGTCACTGCTTCGGAACAAAGGGACTTATATTAGAAATGAGCACGCCATTTTCTGCTATCTGCTGGACAGTTCTCAAAGTCGGAAAGGCAGACACTTTGTTATGGAAAGCAAACCAGTTTCTATTGGTTCATACTTTCCATTTGCGGTCGGTGGTTGAATGCTTTCTGTGGTATATAACATTTAAACACTGGGACCGAATATGGGAGGCCATGCCACTAGCATTGTTTATTATGCTTTATATTCAGCTGACGTTAGTCACATTCGTCATGACACCATACTGGACATACAAGAAAACGCAACAGATGATCGTACCTGTCGATTGGAATTTTGAAGAGTCAAACAAAACCCGGATGACGAATGGTGCCGTGGAAAAGAAAACGGCATAAACTAAATTTGTGAGTGAGAAATACTCAGGGTGTTGAGACTGTAAACAAACAATGTTGTTACCTTTTGTTTTTGTTTTAATAAATTGTTTCAAATAAAAAAAACATGCATTCTCATCAAAAGTTTACAATTATGACTTTCTTTTGTTTTAAAGATACCAAGGATTTGTATACTATACAAATCCTTGAAGATTTACATTACATTACATGTATGTTTCATTATAATACGTTATTTTGATTGGCTAACAGCAATCTCGCGTCATTCTGAAATTAACATTCATTTCAAAATGAAATATAACATTCATCATGACATAAGCTTCCACAATAAAGAGAACAGGTAAATAAACGAAAAACTTGATAGAAATCGTGTTTTCATGATCATAGCAAAAAAAAAATGTAATTATAAGTATTGAATGCTTCTTTTAGTAATTTTATAGGGTTGTAAAAGCGTTGACCGCGCTTCATACAAAATGTACTTCAGTCAACGCTTTTACACCCCAATAAATTTACAAAAAGAAGCATTCAATTCTTAATTATTTAATACCAATATTTATATGACTTGAACATTATGCCAGGGTGCAGTAACTATATCTTTGCCTAGCTCAGAAACGGTACGGCGATGGCTCGACCGTTCATTCTTCATGTTTCATTTCAATCTGCAAATAACAATCAATTGCGTTACCTCCGTAATAAAAAAGCCAACGGAAGTTTATTGTCTGAGAACAAATTTACAGAAAACTTAACCTTTAGAAAATATAGAAGGAGATGTGGATGATACTTCAATGAAATAACAACCTAGAGACAAAAACCTTAGAAAAAAAAACATTTAGAGGTTTTCATACAATCTTCAACAAGTGTCCATACAAAATGGCAGGCTCTCAATCGACCACCGTCTAAAAAACTAACGAATAATTGACAAGAGACTATTAAAGGTCTGTCATGAGCACCTATTGAATTACATAATAGATTAGTTATTGAAAACTGGTCATTATCGTGATATATGGACTTCCCACATGACAGTGGTATTGACTAAGACAGCGATAATGATCGAGCCGAAGGCGAGGTCATTATCGCTGTCGCAGTCAATAACACTGTCCTACGGGCAGTCCATGTATCACGATAATGACCAGTTCTTTAATAACTATTGTTTATTTCATTGAGGAACCATGTTTTTAAAACATTCTCATAAATTCAAATTGTTCAAAGCAAACTCGAGTTATTGTACGATTTCTATAGGAAAGAGTTAAGACCAGTCATAGTGATAACTATAAGTCACTGCCATTCATTTAAGTGAATTTTTCAGTATATGAATACAAAAATAAAGTTTTCTATCATTTTATAATTAACCAGAGAAACCACGCCCCACTGGTCATTAATATGTTAAAGTCCGTTAACGACCGGTTTATGGTCCGTTTTTATCTGTTAAAGACCGATGGAATTTATTACTGAAGAATAAAGAATGTCATGCGGCCCCTTTTTATCCAATAAGAGAAGCCAATTCTTAACCGATATGAAATAATCATAATTAAATGTATCTAAACCTAACATGACTGGGAAATTTAAAAGAATTATTTCATGGAGACAAAATATCTATTTTTCATTTTCTCCTAAGATATCCTGAAAGTAGCAAATGACTAAATCTAATGTTGCCAAGGATGTATTTTATATGCAATTCAGTGGTAAGACAATGACAGTTTATTCATTTATAGGAATTGAATACTTTGTGATATTATTCGCTTCATGTAAACTGTGACAAATTGTCGGACAAGTGATACATTGTATTGTACTGTGCAATAAAATAAATTTTTTACTTTTATTTTTTATGAGTAAATTATTATTCGAACGCTCATAATTAAGAAATTCATGGGAGCTGTTATTAAAATGCTGATTTTCCACATATTTTGACACCTGTTAGCGACTTACTTTAGTTTCTATGGGAACTAAATAGGAAATATCTTTCCTCAAAACCACAAGATCAATGAAATCAATCGAATGAAAGATTTATTTGGCGTTACGCACTATTCTATAGTTACTTTAGAAATTAGATGTGATATGTTTGCCAATGAGATAACTATCTACCAAAGACCAAAGAACAAGGATGTAACAACTACAGGTCATCGCACGGCATAAGTAATTCTTAGTTAAGGATGTACTTAGGTCAGGTTTATGAATTTTTGTCAGATGTTTGGACTTCTTTTGTTTTTTCCTACGATACAGGATAAAATATTTTGCCCCATACCACCCACTTTTCTTTTCATAGAAGACTTCAATAGCTCATAAAATAGTCATTACCAAAATTCAAGCAGATTCTAGATTTTTTTTCTTACGATTTGAAACCCAAATAATGCCAATTATGAATATATGTAAAAGTCCAAGTCAGCCTTTTCCCGCCATTTTAAAAAAATCAATATCGCAAAAAGGAGTTCCATTACATCTCAATATTTTTAGCTTATTTTGTTCCTTAACTAATGCTCTTCTGACTTAAAGAATCGATTTTGAATTCGAGATTTTTTTTAATTTCACCTAACTACATCCCTAAACTACATTATAAAACCAAAATAATGATATAGATAAAGATAAATAGATATTTTTTTTATTTCCAATAGGGGACCCATTATAGGCATAATCAGTACATTGGTTTTTTATCACACAATTGCAATAGTCAATACACAAGAAAATAAAAAATAAAAATACAACTGACAAAAAACATGAAATATAAATTGAGTTAATAATACATGTAGTCACATAAACCAGTATGTTTAGTGTTTATTGACCATGTACCAGAAGCAGCATCACATCCATTATAGAAAAAGCTTTTGAGTTAAGTACTTCCTCGTAGCTGATGCATATAAACAAATAGTATTGTTGTTCATATGCAGGAGTCACCAAGTGCAGGTGCTTAAAGGACACTCAAGCCAATACACAGAAATATGAAAACTTACACACTTTACAACACAAGCATAAACTAATACTTAAAAAGAATTACTATATTATAGTCCTGCTTGTGGCTAATGCACATAAATAAGATTAATATGTAGTTATCCAAATGCAGGAGCCACCAAGGGCAGGTGCTTAAAGGACATAGTAATATATTGTGTAAAATTTCTGTATAAAAAAAATTGGATTTGGACGCAGCCTCTAGCACAACTTGTCCCAATGATATATAAAAAGGATAACAGGAATGACAAGAATTACTGTACAGTACAATATACTACTTCCAACACCCGACTCCTCCGAAAATAACAATGAACAACACATGGTCCAGATAGACTGACTTGGTACAGGCGCACAATGTGGTGGGGTTAAAGACCACACACCACCACCACCACCACACATCTTTGCCTATATAGACCCATAGGTTGTAAAACAACTAAAACACACAATAAACACCTGCACAGTGTAGCAACCAACAGGACGATCACTAACATGAAAAATTGGAAAAAAAACAAAAACACATAATTTGGAAATCAGGGTCAACACGTGCTCGCAACTACAGGAATTTAAGCTAGCTAGGGCCCGGTTTAAAGCTGTTGCGGTAAATCCGCAATGCATATATGACAAACCTTCGGGCGTAGCAAGACATACAGAAATTTAAGTGTTAATGGTTTTATACATTTGTCGAGAATAATAATTTTTTAAACAATCTTTATATTGCATTAAAATATTTAAGATATTTTACAAAATGATAAAATACCTGACCAAACATTCAGTTGATAAAAACGAGAAAGTCCACTGTTTGCCCCCTACGAAGTCAATCACGTGTCCCATCAAGAAGTATCGTAAATATAATAACATCTTCTTAATGTTCACAAAATCAGATAGAATAATCTACCATTATATTGTATTTCAACTTCATTTTACATATTTGTTTGCGGTCCTCGTATTTCGTGCATATATGGAAAATAAAAGTGCACAAGCTTCCTGACATTGCCTCATTTTGAGACATTCCCATAAATATTTATACATGCACGATATCCTAACTAGTCCAGGACCTACTAGACCCCGTATCACTCCTAATATTACGACATGTTAATGACCCGTTTATGACATCACGTTTAATTTTTCCGTGAGAGCCCCATGTATAGAAATCGGACACAGTTTCTCCCCACTGAGGGGTACAATCCCTCCCTCCCATACACACAACATGTTTAGGTAACACAAACAAGAATCATTCGGTATCGTTGGTTAAAGGCTTGAAATAAGGCACATCTGGGGCCATGCCGGGGCTTAATTGTACGCTCAAGTGAGTATATTTCCTATGTCAGTCGAAATTCGTTCCCTTTTTGCCAACCTCAACATACTGTAAACTTTGATTCTAGAAATTATTGAGAGGTTTTTATTAATGCGGAAAATGCGACTACTTGAGTATCGCAATAATAAGAACTCGCATTCTGCTATCTGATACATATATCTGTATGCAGCTTTCCGAAAATCGCAATTATTAAACTCGCATTTTTGTTCATTCTTCAAAAATCGCAATAATAAATACATGCAATAATTTCTGAATTTTCGGTACTCATTCTTTAAATTTATGTCCATTGTGTATACCAAGTTTCATTTTCGTCACCTCAATATTACCTGTTTGCTCTGATGGCTTAAAAGACCAATAATCAATCACTCGGTGTTGATCTAAAGTGATTGTAGACCGTATAACCTTAAAATTAACACAATTTCGAAATCAGATAAGATTAAACTGTAGTATTAATCGGTAACACTGTCAATCAGATCAGAAGGACACTGATCAAGGACAATTCAACAAAAATTAATATGGTACTGATCGGGGACAATAACAAATATAATGGAATGGTACTGATCGGGGACAATAACAAATATAATGGAATGGTACTGATCGGGGACAATAACAAATATAATGGAATGGTACTGATCGGGGACAAATTCTCAAATCAGATTATTTATGTTTTCTACCCTCACACCTAATCGAGGTCAATTTTATTTATCAGTGGGAATTTAAAAATAGAATCCAAAACAACAATAATGAAGAAACAAAAATAAATAATAGTTATAAATGAAAGCATTATCTCAACAAAATGTATAAACAAAAATTGTAGGCTTCACCAAGGGAACAAATTAAGGTATAAACGAACCAAAATATTGTGCAATGCGAAAACATTCCAAATGATACAAAGGTAGATAATCTTGGAGTTTGGCTTTGTTCAAGCTATTTTTTATCTTACCCAATGATTTGACATAAAATTTAACTAGTTTTTTCATACATATGATAATAGTGTGTGTAATTGCAAATGAGGGAGCTGTCCGGCAAAGATAATAGGCTAATAATAAGTTAGATGATTGACAACATATTTGATATGTTTGGTTAGTGTGTTTTAACAGATATTCCTATGGGGACCAACTGCGTTCCTTTCCTTGTCGATCTTTTTCTTTATTCGCGTGAGGCAGACTTCAAACAGGAGCGCCTTAAGAAGAATCCTTCAAATTAACTTCTTCTATCATAGATTATGACCTCATACTGAATAATCTTAAGTTTGGTGAATATGTTCATCGCAATTATCGATTCTCATTGCAACAAAAGATACCACAGATGCAGTTAAGTCTGTTTCATATATTGACTTACATCTAGAAATTGACAATGGTTGTCGGTTGAGAACTAAGCTTTTACAGCAAAAGAGATGATTTTCATTTCTATGTAGTAACATTCAAGCAACAGCTGGGTATATGCTTCCGAGTTGGTACGATATTCCAGGACTTGTGTCACCTTTCATTATCTCCTTGATAGAGGGTTGCTGCTTACAAGGAATCTATTGAAATAAATGTGATTAACGGTAAAGTTGTCAATGAAGTAAATCCTACGAAAGATTTACAGACGCCATTATATTATGATTTTTGTAGATATACTTTTTTATCGATAAAATACATGTCTAGTAAAATAATTATTTACTACGAATATAAGGCTTTATGGTTTTCTATTAAGTAAAAAGAGGTCAATGCATTCTGTAATACCATTTTTTTCTTTTCGATATTTTAAAACTTTTTAAAGCAAATAGCGAACTTTCTTTAATACATTAGATTGGTAACTTATTCGTATTTTTAATAATAAGTTTAGGTGAACTTACAGCGTTATCTGTTTTTTTGTTTTTTTAATGAACCCAAAAGAGGAAACCCAATTAAGTAAGCGATGATAGTCAGGTGTCATATCATTTAGGTTTGCTATAAATAAAGGTCGCCTAATATTATTCTACACTCGAAACGAATAACAATCCTAAATTTTCTAATCGTGTTGTTGTTTCCTGACAACCGAAATATATCATGTTAAAACAAGATTCACATGCACAGGCATGACACGAAACAGTCAAAGTGCTCGATTTATAAATTTTACAGAAATATCATAGGATGAAAATTATCAATGTTGGCTTTTTGACAGTGGTCTGTTTATCAATATATGATGTCATTAGTAGTTTGCACTTGTTGGCTATCGTATATATACGATAACCTAGAACGAATTTTATCGTCTTTTGAATTAACATTTATAAACGTTAAGGTTCCTGTTGTTATAATCTTTGTTTTGTTTTAATTTCTGCTTTCATTTTGTTTTTCATGTTTTATATCATATCACTGACAACACAAAAGTGTGTCATAATTCAACATTTTATTCATAAAAAGGGGAAAAGACACAAAGGGACATTGAAAAAAACATAACCAAAGAAACACAGACATCTTCGGCAAGGGAAAAACGACACAGTGATAAGCAACAATCCACAAAAACATTTCCACACAAAAATATAGATCAAGCGGCATAAACCCCACAAATACTCAGGTACTCCAGTAGAGTCCGCAGTTCTTGCTCAATTAGTGAAACCCGTCCTGTTCAAATTCGTTGATGAATCATATAGAGTAAAACCGACCATTCAATAGCGGATCTGTGAGTGTCTCGTGTCTTACTCTAAGAAAAAATCTCATTCTTCAACCATCGGTACACGAGAATTCTCTCACCTAACACTCAGTGACTCAATGTGAAAATATTAGATTAAAAAACTTTTTTTCTGCACAAATGGCAGAAATGACTGTTTGTCGGTAGAAACAACACGGACATTAAAAAAATACATATGCACGAATTGCAACACGGACCTTTTTTAAAACAAAAATAGGGATTACCTCAGGTCTTTCGGAAGGATAAACAATTACTACTACAACAGTGGCACCCGGTTTGTTGCCGATAAAAAGTTGCATTTGGTGAGATAAACTAGTGACCAAAAGTTTTAAATGCAAAAATTAGTTAAGGTTGGAGAGAATAAAAAACAAAAGGACTTAAACTGATCATATATGGTCAATTGTTTCTGAAGGTGTTGCAACTTTTATTTTACAACTAACTTTTATAAGCTGTAAATTCACATTTGTATTTCCTTCTTCTCCGCCAAGCATGCGACATATATAGTTGAAATCAAAGACTGATATAGACTAGGAGTCCGAATAATGTGTCTGAGTAGGGTGATATATCTTCCTGAGTTCTACTATCTTGTGAGCTGGCAGGTAAAAAATCCGATTCAGTGCGTTGGGATAGTACAAAGCATGGCGTATTCCTATCTCATTTTAGCGTCATGAATATGCATTAAATATATTTGCCACTGGATTTTAAGCAACCACCAATCAATAATTCAATGTGTGCAGTGTCGGAAGCCATTTTTAAACGGTACGCTTAAAACGAAAAAGGATGAATGAAAATTGCACATACAAAGAAATGAAAAAAACATATTGCAGTCAAACATTTGTATTGATCATAGAAAAAAAACATATTGTAGTCAAACATTTGTATCGATTAACAGTAATAGAAAAAAATATATTGCAGTCAAACATTTGAATCGATCATACAGTAATAGAAAAAAACATATTGTAGTCAAACATTTGTATCGATCATACAATAATAGAAAAAAACATATTGTAGTCAAACATTTGTATCGATCAAACAGTAATAGAAAAAAAAAACATATTGCAGTCAAACATTTGTATCGATCATACAGTAATAGAAAAAACATATTGCAGTCAAACATTTGTATCGATCATACAGTAATAGAAAAAACATATTGCAGTCAAACATTTGTATCGATCATACAGTAATAGAAAAAAAGATATTGTAGTCAAACATTTGTATCGATCATACAGTAATAGAAAAAACATATTGCAGTCAAACATTTGTATCGATCATACAGTAATAGAAAAAAACATATTGCAGTCAAACATTTGTATCGATCATACAGTAAATAAGGAACTTTTATGTCACCATAATGTGTATACGGAATTTCCATGCAGATGTGTATAATAATTTTCTTTTATTATATTTCGTAAAGCACTAAGTTAATCAAAGCGACTACAAAAGAAACAGTCGAATTTAGCCCAGTGTTCTAACTTAAGCCTCAGCCATAAGTTCAAACTGATCAGTTTGAAGATTACTCATATACTATTAATCTAAAAAGGTATCTTGTTTGTCTTGGATGCGATTCAAAACACGGCTGTAACAAAACAAAGCCTTCAAATTAGTAAATTCTGCCCTTAGACTGGTTGACACGGATTAAGAAGAATGTTTACGACGTTCAGCCCTAAATCTGCAGACTGTTATTTTGTAAGCTAACACTGTAAATAAAATGCGACTCCGCGTGTTGGTCTTGTACAAAGCAAGTTATAAAATAGTCATAGTCATATAGTCATATCTCATCAACACGTTACAAATATAAGTGAGATTCCCCGAAAGTGGTTGAAGTGTTTCTTGTTTTCTTTGTCAATTTGACATATTATTTGCAATAACTACATGAACTAATTGCTGCATTCGAAACAGGATATGCTTACCCTCTTCTCGAATTTCATAAGAGTGCATATTTCCTTTAGGTTTTCAAGGTTTTTTATTTGTTGTTGTATATCTATTGTTTTCATCGTTGTGACATGGTCTGTCCTGGTCTATTGTCTGTTGTGCCGACTTCTGACGCTGTCTTTGATTTTCTACATATTTATGACAGTAATTTAGAATATTTTCAATACTTTGTCTTGGAAATCGTACTTAGTATACAAGGTTTACAATTGCCTTAAAACAAGGCTTGCATCAGGGTTTAATGAATATGTACAGAATTTATAAATTTTGGGTACACATAATCTTATTTGTAGATAAACTGACGAAATGTAATGTCCAAAAGTCAACACTGATATAATTGTGTAAGCAAGATAACCTGGTCAATCATTCTATGGCAGTGAGGTTAATAACCAACAGGATAATTAACATCGCCTTAATGACCAGTTGATTAAGTTATATAGTGAACCTGGTTTGAGAGATTTTCAATTCAGCAGGTATTTGTTTTGGACAAGTTTCTTATAATGACTTTTTACTTCAAAGTTAACGGTACGGTACGACAAAGTTTTGCCGTTTTAAATTTAAAATCTCCACTATGTATATTAATTTCTTAGATATAAAAAAAAAAAAAAATTAACCGTTTGCACTCGGTCCTCAAACTCAGTTCATAACTGATAAAACCAAAACTACGTGAGTGTCTTGTTCTTGTGTTGATAGTAAGATATACAAAAATCATTTAATCAGTCTAACAAAATATATTGCTGCAACTTTTCTTCTATAAGTACGTTAATTTAATTTAAAAGTACCCTTTCTGGCACAGATGTTTTTGATATATATAATTTCATATAAAAATTACATAAAAAAATAATGACAATTTTGGGGGTAAAATATGGTAATCATGACATATATATATGACATTTCTTGCTTTCCTGTGCTGTGGTACTATAAACATTTTTTTCTGTAAAGCCATTTTATATCGCCATCTTCATCTAGAAATATGTAACAGAGTACAATTGGACATTAATTCTTATTTCCATGTTTAGATAAAGAAATAACATATTTGAAAAATATTCATAAGTATTTATCTTAATCACATTTTTATGAACATTTTAATAAGAAGAAATTTATTATTTAAACTATCCAATATTTCACAAATATTATCTAACCATGTATTATACATGTAATACATGTAATTTACAAGTTAACATGAATTAACAAATTGACCAACACGTCAAATAATATTTACACAATTTAGTTTCCAAACAGGGAACTGTGGCGAAAAAACACATTTACATGTTTTCTTATGCAACAACTTGCAAATTTTGTGTCATGGGGAAGATGTTATTACATACATGTAGCGGGGTTCCGCACAGGTAAATATGACGACAAGTCTTTGATTGTAAATAGATTTTCCTTAATCAAGCCTTACCTGAAACTCTGGACATTGTATAAATACCGTGGTCTGGTATGTTCTGGTCACTCAGGATATTCTATGCCAAAAACACCGATAAGTAAATATTATAATACAAGGCTTGATTGATTGTAAACAGTTGGCTTATTCACGACACTGTGTCAAATACTACATGGCTGTATAAAGTTTCCTGCATATTGATGTAATAAACAAACAAAGATATAAGAAGATGTGGTATGAGTGCCAATGAGACAACTCAGTCTCCATCCAAGTCAAAATTTATAAAAGTAAACAATTATAGGTCAAAGTACGGTCTTCAACATGGAGCCTTAGCTCACACCGAACAGCAAGCTATAAAGGGCCACAAAAATTACTAGTGTAAAACCATTCAAACGGGAAAACCAACGGTCTAATCTATATATAAAACCGAGAAACGAGAAACACTTATGAACCTCATCAACAAACGACAACTACTGAACATCAGATTCCTGACTTAGGACAGGTGCAGACAAATGCAGCGGGTTTAAACGTTTTAATGGTACCAAAACCTTCACCCTTTTTCTGAAACAATAGTGTAACATCACAACATAGAAAGACACACTATAAAATATCAACTGAAATAGCTTAACTCAATCAAAGGACATATTAACACCAGTGAACATACACTGAACAAATAAATTTGACCTATGATACAATGTAAATACAAAATAAATAAACTAAGGGAAGAATAATAAAAGAAACATGTTATACCGCTATGAAATGTTAAACAATTTAAGAAAAACAATATGCCGCAGTCGAACAAAAATATCAGCCATTTGCAATAACTTTAAACACAGGTAAATGAAAATAATTTTAAACATGTTTTATAAGATCTCAATCCTGATAATACGTTGTTTGCTAGATAAACAATGAACAAATATAAATTTGATGTTAAAAGTCTCTCTTTGTTACAGGCTCCTGATATTCAGTATGGGAATCTTAGATTACATAATACCGGAAGTCGACAAAATTGAATTTCGTAGACCATCGGTCAAGCTGTTTTGTATCTTTATTTCACTTGTTTTCTTTGTTTGTGTGTTTGGATTTTCACATTTTATGGGAAAATTATTTAATACGTACAAAATCCTGGATAAAAAGGAACAGATATTTTGGAATCTGGCAATAGTACGAGCAGTTTATGGAATATTTTGTACAGTCATTGGAATCTGGTCATTTTTTATCGACAGTGAACTGGAAAAAGATGTTATCTTCGGAACAACACCAACCAGTTATTTTGCGATTTCAGCAACTGTTGGATTTTTTTGTTTTGAATGTCTGGCTGTTTCCATATCAGATATAGTGTATAGGAGGTTCAGTATCTTATTGAATATTCATCACTGGATATCGCTTGTTGGATTTTCCATCTTACTGATAGTAGAGAGTAGCCATTTTTTCGGCACAAGAGGGCTCTTATTGGAAATGAGCACTCCATTTTCCGCCGTATGCTGGATATTTCTCAAAGCTGGAAAAGCAAACACATTGTTTTGGAAAGTTAACCAGTTTTTACTTGTTCATTCGTTTCATTTAAGATCAGTAGTCGAATGTTCTATCTGGTACGTTACTTACAAACACTGGGATATAATATGGGAAACTATGCCAGTGGCTTTCTTTGTTTGCTTATATATACAGCTAACTCTCGTGACCTTCTGGATGACTCCATACTGGACGTATAAGAAAACTGTTCAAATGATAAATCCCGTAGATTGGAACTTTGAAGATGGTAAAACAAAGACATCATAAAGAGTAGTTACTGTGTTCAAGTCAGGATTTTTATTGCAATTAACCTTTATGTACTGAATAGGTTGTGACAAACGATAGACACTATATTTTCACTATACATGTAGCTTCTTTTTTGCACTTTTACAAATCGAGTCAAATATCTTTATCTTCCATGATTTAAACAAATTAAATGTTTGTGGCAAATTAAAAATCCGCACAAAGCAAACAAGAATCATTATATTAACGCAAACTTCGGAAATGTAGAATACAACATGAATAATTTTGGCTGCTTCTGTCATCAGTTTAAATGACTGTATCAAAAAGGTGCCGATTATTTTCAAATGTCCTATCGAAACAGGGCTTATAATAGTCAATTTGTCTTACATTCTAGGACTGAATTATCCTCGTTTTCAAGAAGACAACATTATTTGCAAATCCTTTCTTCTGTAGGAGCATTAAAATATCGAATCTTCTCTATTTCTAGGGTTTTGTCACTTATACTAAGCTTCGTACAACACTTTCATACATTACTTTCTTATATTCTTATAAAGTCGTGATACATACTGCAGATTCGATAACTGTTTGGTGTTTTATGCACGAATTTTTAAAATACATTTACACCCAACTACTCAAAATTATATATCGCTTTAGAGAACTACGCCAATAAAATATTTTTTTGGTTTTATCATAAGAAATAAAAAAATCCATTCTATAATGCAATTCGTTTGTAACGGCGATTTTGGTAGGAGTATGACCAAGTTCTTTGAAAGCGTTTTATTTATTATTTATTTATTTTAAAGAAATGACTGGGATAATTCTAAAGATCACCATTCAAATATATACTAGTATTATTATTGTCTAATTTCATTCTTTCAATATTGTTTCCCTATTGCTTATGTTTAAGTAACTTATGCGTCATTTTTAGTCTAATTTTATTTTTTGTTAAAATGCATCTACTGTACAGATTGACAAGATTTTGTTGATGTAGGTAAGCATTAAATGGTAGTAGGTATAAGTAAAGCTATTATCGTAGGACTCTCTCAGTATCACAAAATAAAAGCCTAAATTTGTCCACCGATGTTTGCTGCTTAATGTTTCATGTACGAACATTTACCCCACAAGCTTGAATAAGATTATACATATGAAATCTCATATCCATCGAAGCCGGAATCCATAAATAAAATAGATGGTTGCAGTAAGATTGTATAATTTGCTCAACTGACCAATCGGGCTAGTGTAAGCTGTTTCTAATACTGGAAATCAGTTGTCTTTTAACTTTTTAAATTCATATCCACTGACAGTAAAATGGAAATGGAACGAAAATTGTTCCATTCAAATCTGTATATCTTTAGTGTTTTTAGGATTTATTTTCATATCAACTTCTTACTTTATATTTTCGATCTGTGTTTCAAATTTTTTTATTGCTGACATTGCAAGGTGAATTTTTTGACGTTGCGCGAAATCTATTTGGAAATACAATGACCGATAGTGGTGTAAGAAAAACTCATTAGACATCTAATTTTGTACGCCAGACGTGCGTTTCGTCTACGAAAGTTGAAGAGCATTGAAGCCAACAAGGACTACTGGGCTAGTGATGCCCTCGAGGAAAAAACCTCCACCAATAGTGGCATAGCATGATTTCGCTTTCAGCAATTAATGTCAAGGTACAGTAAACGGGCTATGTCACAGATTTTTGTAAAATTTTGCATACATCTTTATCTCGTCATATGTTGAAATTAAACTGAAAATCGATAAAATAATGCATTTATCTCATTTTCTGAAATATAACTGTATGAATTCTTTCAAAATAGGTGATCATTTGTAAAGAAAACACATAAAATCGGCGAAAAGCGTTCATGTTTGTCTTAAGATCATCAGATCTCCAATTACAAATCCATAGATTTTTCTTTAAAATGATATGTTTTTGATACAAAAATTTCCGTTTGATTGATATACCATAACCATAGGGTCACCGACTTCGTTTTACGGTATACAGATATAAGCCAAAAGCTGTGAAATTTTCCAAATATTGGCACCAACTCTCAAATGGCTTGTCCAATGTTTCTGTAGATTTCATTGGAGATAGATCTTGACCTGCTGATCATTTTACCAATGTCAGTTTTGCTCATACTGCTTTAGTATTTGAGATATAAACAAAAACAAAAACAAAAAAACAAACTGCATTTTACCCCTATGTTCGATTTTTAGCAACATCAGCCGTGTTTGTTGATAGATCAAATCCGCAGATACAAAATTAAAGATAATTCCCGAAGAAACATTCAGTTAAAGTTTGGTTACAAAACTCGCATGGCATTTTAGGCCAAGTGATCTTAAAAGGGTAAAAATTAACAGTCAAAGGCAAAATCTCCTATAAGGGATCATTTGAACATTTGTGAACGCATCTATCCCATCGAACTTATGATAAAGGATACAAAAGATACAGTTAAGTCTGCCTCATATCTTGACTTACATCTAGAAATTGACAATGAGGGTCGGTTGAAAACAAAACTTTACGACAAAAGAGATGATTTCGGCTTCCAAATTGTGAACTTTCCATTTCTATGTAGCAACATTCCAGTAGCGCCTGCATACAGAGTATATATCTCCCAGGGCTTGTATTTCCTATCATGATTTCCTTGATAGAGAGTTGCTGCTCACAAGGAAGCTATTAAACCAAGGGTTCCAAGTGGTGAAGTTGAAATCATCCCTTCGTAAATTTTACGGACGCCATCACGAGTTGGTTTACCGTTATGGAATATCCGTTTCACAGATGATAGCGGATATGTTCCAAATGTAACTACAATCCCGTCCCCTTTTCCCCGAATGAGACTTATACCAGGTTTGTACTAACATGAACAACACGACGGGTGCCAAAATGAAGAGCACCTGAGATCACCCCCAGTTTTTGGTGGGGTTCGTGTTGCTTAGTCTTTAGTTTTCTATGTTGTGTTTTGTGTACTATTGTTTGTCTGTTGGTCTTTTTCTTTTTTATCCATGGCGTTGTCAGTTTATTTTCGACTTATGAGTTTGAATGTCCCTTTGGTATCTTTCGCCTCTCTTTTGTACCATGTTGACTAATAGATAGGTCTTATTGTTCTGGTCACTTTTACTGATTAATATTTCGTGTTTTATAATTTTCAGGACAACCAAAATCTTTGAAATTTGCTAAAATTTTACATTTCAGGGGCAATAATTCCAAAAAGGAATGTCCGATTTTTCAAAAAAGTTACACAGGAGATAGACCTTAACCTTTTGATTATTTGTACCCATGTCAACGTTACTTTATCTATTTGAATTTTTGAGACATAAGCCAAAAACTGTAAAATTTTGTAAAAATTGAAATTTCAGGAGCAATAACTCCAAAATAGGTTGTCGATTTTCCTGAAAATTACATAGATAGACCTTGTCTAGCTGATAATTTTACCAATGTCAGTTTCGTTTAACTGCAAACAATTGAGAGATATAAGTCAATAAAATGCTCCGCTGGGCGCAGCTTGATACGACCGCAGAGGTCGAACCCTGAACAGTTGTGGCAAGTATGGACACAACATTCAAGCTTGATACAGCACTGAATTTGGATTGTGGTTAAATATTTGACACAGCATAGGTTTCTGACACAGAATGAATGTGGTCTAAGAACTTATATTTTTTTAATTTACCTATTCAAACCATATCATTATTATTTGCTTTTAAGTAACCAATTTAAAATGGAAAATTTTAAAGAAAAAAAAAGGGGAAAAAAATCCCCCCTCAAATATTTTGAACCCCCTTATGATTCATCACCCCCAAACTCATTCCCAGCCTTCCCTTTGTGTTACAATGTATGGTGCCTTGCAGTACAATTTCAGAGAGATCCGTACACTTGAATACAAGTTATATATTGTCTGGAAACTAGAAAAATGCTTGTTTTTTTGCCCCTTTTTGGCCCCAAATGCCTAAACGTTTAGGGCAATTACCTCCAAACTCAAACCCAGCTTTCCCTTTGTGATATGGAACCTTGTTGTACAATTTCATAAAGATCCATACACTTACACACAAGTTATTGTCCTGAAACTAGAAAAATGCTTGTTTTTTTGCCCCTTTTTGTCCCCTAATTCCTAAAATTTTGAGGCAATTACCCCCAAAATCAATCCCAGCCTTCCCTTTGTGGTATGGTACCTTGCAGTACAATTTCAGAGAGATTCATACACTTGAACACAAGTTATTGTCTGGAAACTAAAAAAACACTTATTTTTGGCCCCCTTTTAGCCCCTTATTCCTAAACGTTTTGGGCAATTACCCCCAAACTCAATTCCAGCTTTCCCTTTGTGATATGGAACCTTGTAGTACAATTTCAGAAAGATCCATACACTTACACACAAGTTATTGTCATGAAACTAGAAAAATGCTTGTTTTTTGCCCCTTTTTTGGCCCCTAATTCCTAAAATTTTGAGGCAATTACCCCCAAAATCAATCCCAGCATTCCCTTTGTGATATGGAACCTTGCGGTACAATGTCAGAGAGATCCATACACTAACACACAAGTTATGTCTGGAAGTTACAAAAATGCTTATTTTTGGCCCCTAATTCCTTAACTGTTGGTACCATAACCCCCAAACCTTCCTTTTGTGGTATTGAACCTTGTGGTAAAATTTCATAGAAATCCATTCACTTAAACTAAAGTTAAAGTGCGAAAACCAATGTGTCTTCGGACAATGATGACGACGACGCCAACATCATACCAATATACGACAAAATTTTTAAGATAATATTCAATGACTATGAAATTTTGCTAAAGATTGACATTTCAAAGTCAATAAGTCCAAAATAAGTAATAATTTTGTTTGAAAATTGGAAGATGGATAGATCTTGACTTGCTGGTTGTTTTCATCCTGTCATTTGTTTTCTTACTGCTTCAGTTTGTTGAGATGCAAGCCAAAAACAAGTCTTATCTTATACTCTATTTTATCTTTGGGAGAAATGTTTTTTTCAGCGGGTCAGAAAAAAACAAAGATGTTTGTAGAGGTCAGGAAATTTGATCATTTTTATTAACCCTGCTTTATACTAGACAGACACACTGAGCCGGATTTTTAACGTGCTAGTTCACAAGGTAACCAACCTTAAGGGCCAGGTGAGCTAAAATTATAACATAAACTACATGAAATTTTGACAGTGTATAAGACCACACAAACTATCAACACCTTTGGGAAAAAACAGATGTACAAACAAATGAAAAAAAAAAAATACAAGCAACACATGATCCTTCATGCTCCTCACATGTGAAATGTTACTTTTGTTATTGTATTGTCTAAAAGTTTGATTTTATTAATCATTTTAGACAAGGTGTTAAAGGGTAAACTTGGAAAATACCCTTTTTGAAATAGCCTAGCAAGAGGTCTAACATGGTCACTCTACAATCAAACACAAAACAGGCATGACATTATATTGCTTTATTCATAAAAACTGTTATTAAAATACATATTTACAAATCTCAAAGCTAACAAAATGTGCATCTAAAACAACTAGGCAGTGTGCCCTGCACTCAAATATTCTTAACAAAACTTGTATAATTAACAGTTGCAAAATAAAAATTTCTGAAAAAGTATTTTTAAAAAAACGTTTTCATATAAAGACTGGTATAAAATAATTTGCATACTTTATATTAAGTCTATTGGTAAAATATAACCTGTATACCATCATACTGGAATGTTTTTAACAAAAATCAAACCATACAGAACCTCATAAAAATAAAAAAATAGTTCAATAAACTACGCAAATGATTCAAAGTAGAAAAAGAACTTTTAATGAAATAATTTTAATATTGGGTCCAATGTTCAAAAGCTAACTTGCCTTGCAGCAATACATTTTTCTCAATGTTCATATATTTTTTTCCATATTTGTTTTGTTTTTGAAGTTAAGATAAGTTAATTTTATACAATCAAAGTAAAGTAGAAATTTTTTAAATGATGAAAATTAAATTTTCCCTGGACAGTATTTTAAAACAGTTTATAGTCTAAAATTTTATTACCAAAACAGACATACTTTTTTGACATTTGTTTAACAATTTTTTTTCTGACAGAGGGTACAATATTTTCCCCAATTCAGAAAATTGTAATAGACCTAGAATGGGTTAAATGCAAGACTGTACAATTTATAAACACAATGATATCAAATTTACATTATAATGTTAATGATACAGATCTCCTTTATAAGATAACAATTCAAATACCGGGAAGGTGTCACATCAGAGTAAAAAAAAAAGGGTAAAACTTTGTATCTAAATCATATGAATCGTTAAAATATATATTCCTGTTTTTATTTAATTATTTGTATTTTAGATATGGGCTGGTCATAGATTTTTGTCATTTTCAATAAAAAGTCCAGGCAACATTTTTCCATTCCTGTACAATTACTTTTAATTGCAACGAATCCCTTTTCCTGATTTTGTATCTATCAAAACCACGACTTTTAATTGATTTATGAATTAACAATGACCAGCAGCAAAGATAGTAACATGTTGATATCATATGAATACAGCATGAATAGTAACACCCAATAAAATTCACATCTGGTAATATTTTCCCCAGATTTGGAATAAATATCTGATAATATTTTCCCCAGATTTGGAATAAATATCTGACATTTTCTCCAGATTTGGAATTATATCAGATAATATTTCACACAGATTTAAAATAAATATCGGATATTTTCCACTGAAAGGAATGTCAGATGACATTTTCAATTTATACAGAGTGTATATCTGATATTTTCCACTGAAAGGAATGTCAGATGACATTTTCAATTTATACAGAGTGTATATCTGATATTTTCCACTGAAAGGAATGTCAGATGACATTTTCAATTTGTACAGAGTGTATATCTGATATTTTCCTGATATGTTAAGTCTGACAACACTATTTCAAAAGTTAAGGTATAATTAATTAAAACGGATCATTGCAGCACTTAAACTCTGTTACATTCATCTTGATTTAAAATAATAGAAAAACAAGATGTTTTTTTCTATAACTTCAATGTTATAACTATATATATAAAGTACAGTGCAATTTATATGCATGATCATAAGGCCCCAACTACCCAAAGAAATATAAAGAAAAAATAGAATCTTTTTATTCTTAAATTTTTTCTCTCTCACTGTGATAGATAGAAACTCTATCTTTTTTGGCATTAATGCATTTATGTGTTCTTAAATTATCCAAATTTGCTATTTTATTATGAAGTATGATCTTGCTCTACTTATATACAAGTATAATTCATTAGTTACACTGACAATTAATTAACTTCTTAAACTGATATTGTGTTTTTGCTAACAGAATATTTACAATATGTTCAATTGAATAGTGACTGAAAACAACGCTCCGCTCCGTAAGAAACTCTTTTTTACAAACATAATAGTAAAGGTTTTTAATGACAATATCTCTATTCCTATGTGACAAATACAGCAGATGACATAATTAATACCCTTTATAATCAAGGATTTTGACAATATAACTACAGATAAATGTTATAAGAGTACACTTTGAAGATGTGTTCCTCACAGGTACAAAGGCAGCTAATTTGTCTAGCTGAAATTAAACTATGGTAATTTTGTAAAAGATATTTCCTTCTCATGATTTCAAATTTTCTTAAATATTTTGTTACACTTATGGCCTTTTCCTATGCCATGTGTATATAGTACCCCCAGCAACCCCATTATCTCTCAACATTCCTTAAAAAGCCTTTCAGATACAAATTTTGTAAACTGTGTATCAAATCAATGATATCATATATATTTCAAGTTTATAAAATGTTAACATAGTTTTCAAGTAACAGCTTTCCTTCTCTGCCTTTTTCCTTGTGAATTTCGGCATGAGTATCCTAATCAAACACTTGTTTTTTTCCTGATAAAGTGATATGATTCATTGTTCTTTGTTTAACAATCAATTTACCCCTTGATTCTGTGAAATGATGCCATGTGAAAAAAATCCTCTTGGTTATAATGCTATTTCAAATGTCTGGCTCTACAGACAAATTCGAAAAAAATAAAGACTCTTAATTGCAAAAATCACTTATGTGTATACAAGCACTGCTTCAATTGGTCAAATTTATTAAAAAAGTTGCATATCAAGTAAACATCTTGACTTGCATGAAGTTTTCATTTAAAGCTGTCATAAATAAAAATCCTGAAAAATCTGACATATTTTTTAAAGGGATAGAAATAATTTTACCCAACTTAGTTGTTATTTGCTCAAATGGCAGAACATTTTTTGGAATTAGTGTAAAATAGTTTTAAACCAAACTTTATGAACAACAAATATCTAAGTGATATTTCCTTACAAATGACATGATTAAAGTGTTAAGGTTTATGTGTAAACGTAGATTTATTTTAATCTAACAGATAATAATTTTCCTGGGGTCTGTAGAAACTGTGAAATGCACGCCAGAATACAGAACTATTAACATTTTTGATGGTACAAAAAGTAAAATTTACCAACAAAATAATGTTCCCACAAAACCTAAAAATGTATTTGCAGTTGTTTACTTATTTCATTTTGCTGATAATTTTTTTATTCATAACTAATTTTTATCTCTCCATATCAAGTTAAATTCACAGGTAAATAAGAAATTTCTCCTTTAAACTGAATTTCTGGTCAGATTAATCTTAGTTAATAAATGGAAGTGAAAAAGATTTTGAAACAAAAATGTTATTTTTGTTCAATAATCTATGATGCCATTTATTTTGACAACAATTATATACCATTGGTATGTCGACTTAAGGAACTCTTCAAACACAACATATAATCTGGTGGATATAATTAATCTATGGTGTAAAGTGTCCATTTTTCAAGTATGAGATCGAAATGAATAATGTTAACTGCATGACCTAAACATTAATAAACAATACAGATTTATAAACTTATACAGTCTGCACATGAATTACATAAAAAACATAAAAGCATTATATAAAAAAATATCCATCTACAGTTAAATGAAGCAAATTAAAAAAAATGACATAGAACTGTATAATATATTAGGATTAGTATACATAACTGGCTTAACAGCAACTGTTAGGGGTGTCATCATATACAGGTATACATATGTAGTTCATTACAATACACAACATCATCCCAAATAAAACTTATATTTTCATATTTTCTTCAGTTTTTTCCCCATTTCCTTTACCTTTTAAAGAAGTATTTTATTGCTAGCTTTTTCAAACATTTGGTAAGAAAAGCTTGCTTGTAAATGTGAAAAAATGCCATGGTTGAAGAAGTTGTTCCTTGACTGACTTTAAAACATGTTTTAAAAAAGCCTTCAAGAAAAAGATGCAAGTTAAGTAAATATGTGATCATTTAGATGCTGTTACTTGATCATACATAGTATGATAGTATACATGTATGTATGTAATACAGTGTACAGCCAGCATATCATGACATCCCTACACAAAACCTAAGTCTGGAGCTTTCTTTAGATAATTATGAATACTAATGTCCTGTGGCTTGTTTAGCTGCCACAATCAGGGGTCGCAATGTTGTCAGTGGTCTCGCTTTTGCTAGAAATTTGTGGGCTAGTAACTCCTGAGTGTCGGCACGTTTTTCAACTTCCACTTCCAAGCACCGATCTAGGAAGTCCTTCAATTCAGGAGACAGTTTTTCTGCATTTTTGATATCTGGTTTTCCTTTCGTTGCTATACGATAAATGGCCTTCAGTGGGGTTTCATTCAAATAAGGTGGTTCCCCTTCTAACATTTCTATAATCATGATTCCCATACTCCAGATATCTACTTTCTTTCCGTAATGTTTTCTGGAAGATTAAACAAAAACACATATTTAAAAAAATTCAGCAGACAAATATCATTGCTCACACTTTTTTATTCGTATGTACAATGACGTAAATAATTATGCATTCACAATAAATTCTTTGTCCTTTGGTTTTGAATGGATAGTTGTCACACTGGAAAGAAATCCAAATCTCCTTTTTATTTTAATTGGTTTTTTTGTACTAATTGACCTGTCTTTATATTTTCTTTTTCATTTAAGACGACTTTTTTCTTCATAAAAGGTATCTTGTAACGTAGATACCCTTACCTTTAATGCATATTTTAAACCTGATTTTAATAATGTACCTTTACATTAAATTTTTTGGACATTTATTTTAGTAAGATTGAATGCTGGTAATTGAGCAAGTGGTGAAGTTGTTGCGGGACTCACAACTATCTGACAGACATACTATTTAGATGTATTCCAATTAGAAAGCAAGGTCAAAAGCGCAATTCATTTATGGTGATCTTTAAATTTCTTTAATTAAGTCCAAATTATATTTTCAAACATGATGTATAAAAATGATGATCTACAGTTATTTGATTTACCTGGACACTACCTCTGGGGCCATCCAGTAGGGAGTTCCAACCATAGTCTGCCTTTTTGCACTATCACCACTGAGTTGAGCACAAAAACCAAAATCGGTTAATTTAACTGTCCCATTCATACCAAGTAAGACATTGTCACTCTTTATATCCCTGTGTATACAATGTTTTTCATGCAGATAGTCTAATGCCTGTAGACATTCTCGTGACACTGCAGCAATCTGTCCCTCGTTCATGATGGTTTCTGTTACGACGTCAGTTAAGGCACCGCCATCTAGATATTCCATTACTACCCATAGTTCTTGTTTTTCTGATAGATAATAGCAATCTAAGAAATTGACGATATTTGGATGTTTATAATCCTTCATTACTTCGATTTCTGTAATTAAAAGTTCTTTTTTTGGTTGATTTGTCAAATCCATCATTTTAATAGCAACTACTGCATCAGCATCAACAGGTTTGGCCATACATACATTTCCAGAGGCACTGAAATTAAAGAAAACAAACATGATAACTATATTCCATGAGAAAAATCAAGATTTCAATTTATCGTAAATTTGTAATTTTCCCTGTGATCCTACTGCCTAAATGGTTTATAAGATTGATGAAAGGATATGATATTTGACAAATAAGCCAAAGACTTATCTTTTTCATGTCCATGTGTGTCAAGTTATCAATAAAATGCAGGCAACATCATTCATAAACCAAACAACTGTCGCGATGTTTTGTAAGCGCAATATGATTTTTTTTTCAACTACTTCATGTAACTTCATATATCCTACCTAAGAAGCTTATTAATTTAAAAGACAAATTGCCAATTAAGAGATAACGGCATTTTATATTTGATACAGACTTTATCAGCTTGCCATTACCAGCTCCTAGCAAGCTTGCTTGACATTTTTGCTGATAAAATTAGTATCAAAAACAAATGCCATTATTCTGTATGTTTATCAAAGATCACTGATGTTTGTTGATTGGTTGATAACTGAGATTTCTAAGACCTTCAGGGACCATGTAACAGTGCCATGAAGATTTTAGGCAGCATGTCTATTCTACTGTGTTCTATCTTAATTATACAAACAAACTATTATTCTGACAACAAACAGTACAGTTTATTTTAGTCTTTGAGAACAATTTTGCTTCAAAATCTTCTGCCACTGCCCAAACTTACCCTGAACCGAGTTTCTTTTGAATCTGATATTTAGAGGAGGCATCTCCAGGTGAAGCTAACCGTTCTGAAAATAACAAATATGGCATGTCTGTTAATTTTTCCTATGTATACAAGTACAAGTATTTAGTAGAACAATATATCAATTATGGTTGGTACATACCTTTAATAATGGCAGGTTACCATCCTGCTCAGCTCATTCAAAATTCTCAATTTACCATATTGTGATGACAAAAAACATTTATATAAACTTGATCATTGTTGAAGGCCAAACAGTGCCCTATAGTAACTAACATTCAAATCATTAGGACTCTGGTTGATAGTTGTCTCATTAGAATTAAACCGCATCTCCTTATTTTTTATATCGATTCATATCTTTGACCTGAATCTATCAAGTATAATTTTGTTAAAGCTGGACAGAATAAAACATTCATATTTAGATCAGTACTATCAATTGTTAGATATTGTATTATATCAGCTGCTTAAAACTCAAAATATAGTGCTCTCTGATTCTTATTGGTGTTATACATGTTATAAAATAATAATTTGCAGAAAAAGAAACTATTCCTTTTCACATTTCTGTATTTATCTTCACAATGCATTACTTCTTTATGCTAATATCACAAACTGATAGGAATGAAGGGTTTATACATTATTATTTAGCCTTTTATTAGAAATAAACTGCTTCGCTGAGCGCAGCTGGATACGACTGCAGAGGTCCAACCCTGAACAGTAAGGGCAAAAATGGACACAATATTCAAGCTTGATACAGGTCTGAATTTGGACTGTAATTAAATATTTGACACATTATAGGTTTCTGACACAGAATAAATGTAGTCAAAGAACTTAAAATTGGTTATATGATTTGAATTATATTCAATTGAAGATTTCTTGCTTTTGTGCAATACACTGTGCTGTTGCGCAATACTTAGTAAATCTGTCATCAGGCTATATAAAAAGAATTAAATCAATTGAAGAAAAAAATTGACCCCCCTCCCCTTTTCCAAAAAATAATATTTGAAGAAATTTTATTTTTATTTTCTCAAGTCTTGAGGATAAAAAATTGTCCCCCTCCAAATAATTTTTTTGTTCACCCCCCCCCAAATTTTTTTTAACTCCCCCCCCCCCCCCTTTTCCCCAAAAAAATAACATTTGAAGAAAATTTTCTTTTTGTAAAATGTGGTACAGTTTAAGAGACATCAATACACTTAAACATGAGTTATTGTCTGAAAACTAGAAAAATGCTTGTTTTAGACCCTTTTTCGCCCATAATTCCTGAACAGTTTGGGCAATTACCCCCAAAATGAATCCCAACCTTAAACTTGTGATATTGGACCTTGTGGTACAATTTCAGAGCAATCAAAATACACAAGTTATTGTCCTAAAACTAGAAAAATGCTTGTTTTGGACCCCTTTTTGGCCCCTAATTCCTAAACAGTTGGGACCATCACACCCAAAAACAATCCCAACCTTCTTTTTGTGGTATTGAACCTTTTGGTAAATTTCAAAGAGATCCATACACTTAAACTTAAGTTATTGTCCGGAAACCAAATGTCTTCGGACGACGACGACAACGCCATGACAGCATTATACGAACCCAAAATTTGTTTGCGGTAGTATAAAAATTGCATACTATTGTTTACATGTATCATTAATGAAATTTCTTATCATTGCTTTTTATGAACTCGTGACAATCAATTTCCTGGATTTTTGTGGGTACATGTATATTCCAATAAAAATTAGTAAATTTTTCACACAATAATGTTATACAAATGTACCTCACTTTTTCATTCAACGTCATAATATTGTATACACAAACTATATGAAAATTAAAATATTTGTGAACTTTATGTTGCACTGAAAATTTTTAGAATTTATTAAGGTAAAATCAATACAAATTAATTTGTAACATTCACATTTAATTACTTAGTCTGTGCCATCCAGAAGGTATTCTACGAATTCTTAGTCATGTGCATGGAAAAGTACACACATGGTGATTCAGATTAAAATCAAACTTACTGCTATTGAATGATTCATAGTGAATTTTGGTGATTCGATGACTACTGATTAACATCACTTTGATATTTCCCTTGGAATAAATCTACACTGAACATATAAATTTCCTAGTGAATCATACACAATTACTTGACAGGCATTCAATGTAAGAAATCCACTATTAGAAGTGATTTTTCACTGATCAAATTGTGTGTACTGTGAGTGCAATGTGCAGGGTATGCATTTGTATCAAAAAGGTTGGACTAAATTACCAACAGGTACAAAAATGTAAGTTGTAATTAATTTGTTCACCTAGGGCACTTCTCATTCAGCAGAGAAAATATGGCTTTGAAATAGGGGTGGCTTCTTAAATAAAAGATACTGCTCTTCTGAACAGCATAATAGGTTTTATGAGGGGGAGTGTCTTCTTTACAAAAGATGAAGTCTTATAAAAATAAATATGAGAGCCTCTCTAAGGGGGACTACTGTGGTGATTTTTTCTAATTTCATTGGATTCTGTTTTGAATAATTTTATTCAATAATTAGCTGTATGCATTTGTTCCCAATATATTTAAACAAAATTAATTCATTTATTTTTACCTGTTAAAAGTAAAGATTTACATAATAATGGTTTGAATATTTATGTTTTATTGACTGTGAAGGGCCATAAAAATCTTCAACAGATAAAATAAAGCTTGTTCAAATGAAAATTCATGATTTATAAAGTATATCTATATTGACTCTCTACAGGATCATATAATCACTTTTTTTAAGTTTTCTAGTAGTGTGTATAATTCATGTATAGTCCGTTTGACTTCTATAAATCTTCAAAAAATAATTCTTAAAAATTCATTTTTACAAATAAACATTTTTTTTCTTCATGTATGTTAATGTATGATATATACTAACACTGACTATGAATATCATAATTTTGGGCCAATAATCAAAAAAGTTACCCATTTGGTCTCTATGTTACTTCTATTTTTTTTTATATAAAATACTTGATGGAGTAAGTATGAATAGTGTAACAGCCTTCCATTCAAAACAAAAACATTAGACATGTGCTTTAAACCTGTTTCATTGTACCATGTGACTTTTCTCATTTGAATAACTCTGACCAGCAACAAACTTGGACTTCATTTAAGTTTTATGTCATGTGATTACTGAACTTTCTGTATACATGAATTTGTATTTTTCATTGTTCAACTTCTGAGTAACCTTAGTAATATTTTCCACTGGACATTACTAGTATTACATTTTTAAACACTACAAAGTAGTTTTAGGCAAAATTCAGTTTATAAATGAAATTTTGTGAAAATGAATAATATAAAGCATATTTTTTTAGTATTTATACCTTCATATGTTTATGAAAACTAAATATTGAATGTATTCTGTAAATACTTATTGATAAAACTTTTTCGAGCCTCTCCATTTTGTTAGTACTGTCATCATGCTTTAAGCATTAAAAGCTTGCTTATATTCTTTTATAAGATATATATAAATATATAATCAAATTAAGGTAACAAAAATGAAGATTTGGTAAGGAATAAAAAAAAATAAAACATCTGGTTATGATATTTTTCCCACAAATAACATCTTTGTAGATACATGCAAGTTCATTTATAAAATCGTATAAAAGCCAGTTATAAAAAAACTTAGATGATGGTCATTTTTGATGACATATATAGTGTCCTTTGATATCTTAATGAGTTAAGTCACATGGTACAATGAAACAGGTTTAAAGCACATGTCTAATGTTTTTGTTTTGAATGGAAGGCTGTTACACTATTCATACTTACTCCATCAAGTATTTTATATAAAAAAAAATGGAAGTAACATAGAGACCTAATGGGTAACTTTTTTGATTATTGGCCCAAAATTATGATATTCATAGTCAGAGTTCGTATATATCATACATTAACATACATGAAGAAAAAAAAGGTTTATTTGTAAAAATGAATTTTTAAGAATTATTTTTTGAAGATTTATAGAAGTCAAACTGACTATACTTTCCTTTTTTTTTTAAAGAAAACTAAATTTAGCAGAAATGATTTATTTTTCAAAAATAGGTTGAAAATAAAAGCATTTATTTATCAAGCAAATATTTTGACATAGGAAAGCTGTAACTAGCCAGCTACACTGTGACTATTTCTGTTTGAGGATTGTGACAGAAAATTGTCACATATTAAATACAATTTTACGAATTGCACAATTTTTTGTTTACTCTATGTGATTCAATAATCAGTGTTCCAGCTTGAATCTCAGGGCAGAAGGGTGCTAGTTGTTTGAAAGGGCACTTTAGCGCAATAACCCAGATTGTAAGGGCTGTTGGACAGTGTATAAATTACCTTGAATTTTGCTAGGCTCAGCTGGAGAACATTAGTTGTATTTCAACTGTATTTAGAAATTAATGTGATCTGGATGTTGGTTCCAGTAAGATTTATTTTTATCAAATTATCATACCAAGAAGCAAAACATATCATTTTGATTTAATTTAAACAAACTTGTACATTTGGTAAGGAAAATAATCATCAGAAATTTCAATGTTTTATAACTGATACCATCTATAAAAATAAAGTAGTTTTGAACTGAGACTACAATAACACATAGTAGTCTCAGTTTTGAAATATGGATGTATACATGCAAAATTGAATTTTAAATGCATTAAAATTATCTACATTTAAATTACTTGTTCAAACATATAGTATATGTTATTGAAAGTTACTTATTATCATTTAAATTGTTACAAAAAGTATTGTTTTAAGTGCACACCAAAGTGCTCCTAAGTCAGGAGTTACATAAATATAACAGGTGAGACAAGAGATGATAATATTATATTGATGCAATAATACATTGCATACATTGCAGAAGGTATAAACAGTTACTTTTACCCCCATAATTGTTAAAAATAAAAGAATGTGTTAAGTGCTCCTATGTAAGGAGGATTATAAATACAAGAAGTAAAACAGGAAGTGCAATCTTGTTTATGTTCAAAATACAAATTTCTTTAAATTACTCATGGTAATGAAACAAAACATTTTTTTACCAGTTTAATAAGTCAAAACTATGTATGCCTTTAAAATTGTTTAACATTTTATTTTTTATGTTATATGTCTTCATAAATAAAGTGTATATGCATGGTGTGCATGCTGTACATTAACAATACAAATGGATAGCATGTAGACATTTTCATTCTGTATTAAATATCTACTATTTGTTTAATTATCTTAAATCCTCTAATTAACAGTAAACAATCATTAACAGAGGTGATAAAACTGCCAAAGGCAAGGTATTTAACTTAAGGTAGATGGGGTGTCTAAATTATAATCCATAGAATTTTTTAATAATTTGCCAAAATGTAGTTTGTATCATGCTTTTTTAAAAAAAATAATAAAAAGAATGGGTCACGGTGCTTATTTTCACACTACAGGTTGTGCAAAATTGACAGATTTTGTATAGATTATGCATGGAAAACCCAATTTTCTGCCATAAAACTAAAACAACACCATAGAATTTTGAGATAGAATATGAGAAGATAGCTCTTATATTATGCTTTCAGATAAGAAAAAAGAAAAAATGGGGTCACGGGACCAGTTTTCTTGCTACATAATAAAACAGGTAAATTCCTAACACATTCTATTGTAAAAGTAACTTTATCTGAATTATCTGCCCTTATATTTGAGTTGCCTCCCCTTATGTGTCAAAGTTGGAAAAAAATGAATCAAACAAAGGCATTCTGTTTTTTGTAAAATACAACCATACATATGATAAAACATGTCATTTTCTATATTGAAAGGAAAATGCTTACACATGAATTACCTACTACTCTCAAAATTTGCACATTTTATTAAAGATCTAGACCTCTTGTTTTCTGGTATGTCAAAATACAAGATGGAGGAAGATACCCTATCTACCTTAATCCCATTGTCAGTTAATGAGGGTGTTGCACAAAAAGGTCAGTTTTACCGGAAACGCAGATAGGCATGAAATATGGAAATTTTATTTTTTGAAAAAGCAGAGGGGTGCATTTTTTTGCTTTGGAAGGCAGAAGGGCAGGGGTAAGGGCACCAGGGGCAGGCGGCCCTTCTATTTAGGGCAGGCTGGAACACTGATAATACATAGCTATTTTTTATAATTCATTTCCTTTTCACAAGTTATACAGCTGTGAAATGTCATTCAACTAATTCTTGACAGTTTGACACACATACACCCCCACCCCAAAAAAAATAATATACAGTAAAATTCCTGCCAGAAAAGATTTTCTCACAGGGGGCTTATGATACTTGGTCAGCATCTAGGTACAAATGCAAATATTATTTAAGGTGGGAACTAAGCTCTATGATAGTTTCACCACAATATTCATGAAGTAAGTCCATTTTTTGCTTAAATCATTTAGAAATATGTCATATTTATACATTTCATTAAAGTATGAAGCCAACTTTATGCAAATAAATTTTCTTAAACCTTTATTCAAACATTTGAAAAAATATTATCACTTTAGGTTGACAAAGCCAAAAAGATACCCATTATGGGGTTTTTATGCATTCTTATATTATAAAATATAAGCTGGGAGTCACAATTCCATATAAAGCACTTTGGTAAGAGAACGATCTCAGAATGTTTCATATTGTGTTGTGTAGGTGATATTTTGCATGTATTGAAAATCTGCTTCTCTATTTATTAGATTGTATTTGAGTGATTTACTGATGGAAATGATAGTTTTTCTCGGTTTTACAGCCTAACTTGAGGTAGACCTGATATGTTCTTATCAACATTGGGTCAAACATTATGACGTCAGTATTTAGTCCAGGTGTTAAGGTTGGGTCAAATAGATGATGTGGAGGGAGTGTGATAAGGGCTGAACAGGATGATAGTGGCCTAGGAAACTGATAAGTTCCAAAATGATGATTCTTCTTTCTAGTTAAGTATTAAATCTGAGATTCTTATAACTGAAAGTCTGAAATTTTGTATTTGTTACATTTTAACTGATCAAAAATTTTATTTTGTTTAATGCAATTTAATTATCTAGTAAATACTGCAACAGGTGTAATAAAATCATATTAGAAATATTCTGAAAATGTGCATGAACCTGAATTTGTCCATTTATTCTTATTTAATGTGATAGTTGATACAGGATATGTTTGAACAAGAACAATGCTACTTACTTATTAAATTAGTTAAATTACCTATTGCAATAAAAAGAAGAAATTTATCAGGCTGCACTTTCATGTCTAAAGGTTGGATGGTATGATAAAATATACCATTTCATTAGTTCAGTGTATCCTAATATAGTCATACATTTATATCTGTTTTAGATCCAAAAATTTCATTTAGATAGGTCCTAAGGGTTAATACCCAAGATTTTTCTTTATGTAAATAAAGCATTACACAAATTAAACCTTCTCAGACACTTACGCAATCCTGCATGAATTTCATCATCACTTAGATTCTTTTTCTGAGATTTAGGACGTCTTTGTAATACTTCTTCCTCTGCATCCTCTTTTGTTTTCTGGTTGTCAAGGGTAACTTTGGCCATGCCATCTGTAACATTGTTTGTTCTGGAATCTATTTCATCTCCATGATTATCATTTTTCTGTAAAAATGGTAATTGTGAGATATATATCACAATATTCAAAATATGTATATCTTTTGAACAAATTTACCAATTTCAAAAACAGTATTTTCTTGCAAAGCTGAGGAAAGTGGCATAAACATGGGTTTCAACAAACAGTGCTCTAATTATATAAGACAACATTGCTATTCTTAGTTAAAAAATTTTAAGCATACAACAATGTAGCATATCTAACTTAAGGTTGCTGGTGTGTCTAAATGTTTGACGAAAGATTTAAAAAAAAAAAAATTCTGTGAAAGACTTCTTGGTCAATGTACTTTCGAATTTCAATATAAAAACTGGGTGTCACAGACCTTGTTTTTTCATTTAAAAAAAAATTGAAATTAACATAATTGACAGTTATTTCATATGGGTTATACAGGGGAAACTTAATTTTTTCTTTATTGAGTCATGAAACGATACAATTGGTTAAAATTCAATTAAAGATTTGCTTTTTAAAAGTACATCTGAGATATAAAATAAAAATAGTGGGTCACAGGCCTTATTTTCTTGAAAAATAAAAAAAACACAAATTGTCCTATCAAATTCAATATAATTTTCTGCCTCTGATTTTTTCTGAAATTTTTAAATACACTTGATGGCACTTAATTTTCTTATAGCTCGATCTTGATATTTCAAGTTTTAAGTGTTTCTGTTGTATATTGAATGATACTTGGTATGATATTTTTAAACCAAAAAAAGTATTTTTGCAACATAACCGAAGGGATGCTCAGAAAGACACCCGATCCACCTTAATAAATGAATTTCTAGTTTAAAAGCAGTATTATTATTGTTAGGTTTATCAATCTTTTTATTTCTGAATGAATTCTTGTTTCAAAGTGTTCATTCCTTGTATGAATTATGTTTTTTGAGGATATAAAGTTAAATACAATTAATAATTTGGTGTCAAAATTGACTTATATGAAACAACAGTCATGCATGAATACATTGCCTAACATTTACATAGATAGTATTGATGTAGATTCTAGATTGTGTATTTAAGTTACATTTCATATTCTTTATATATATCATAAGAATTTCAGAAACTTACAAATACATATAAAATATGCATCAAGAAATACAACATTTCCATTGCATTTCATTTGCTGATGTTTCTTTAGAGCCAAATTATATGAAGGTTCTAAACAATATTACTTTGCTTGTCAAGTGACGTCAACAAACACATATACTAAACTAGAATCTACACTATACACTTATTGTAAATGTGAAGCAATGTACCTTGTTTGGGTCAGTTTTTGCAGTGACAAAAACCTCATCTGATCTGGCATCTTTTCCGTGAGGTGAGGGTGGTGGCATGGGGCTTTTGTCTTCATCACTAAGTTCATCCTCAGATTCTTCAATGGTAGTTGCAACTTTAAGATATTTCTGTTCATGTGTACTTTTCTGTTTAAATGATTTCTTCAAGAATTTGATGGATTTAATGACAGCTTCTGGATTTTTCTTCTGTTCCTCTTTCCTGAAGAAAATAAAATTTTTAGTAGCGGTTGGGAAAATTACATTATGGAATGTATGTGTATTTTGTTTTCTGTATTGTACAAAGCGTAACTGTGAACATGATGAATAAACAAAAACAAGTGTCTCTATTTAGCCACACTCAACGGGCAATCAACAATTATTGTGCAATATGCCAAAAATATATTTGGTTGCACTTTACGTAAGCTTTCTGTATATAATGAGAGTCTATTATAAATTCATATACATATACAGCATACAATTTATGATTCTTAAAAAAGTGTTTATGGTGTACCATAGTTAATAAATAACAACAAACAAATACTTTAGTGTGAAATATAGACTTAATGAATTGAATTTATTATGTTTTGTCCAAATGTATTTATCATACTTCATGTAAAAATGCCAGATTTTGATTGGTTAATAAGAGGTAGATAATTTGCTCTATCCCATGGCAAATACTCCATTATCCTTCATGGAGACGCTTGATCAATTGTGCGCTTTATGAAATACAGAGGTTGTTATGTAAATGACATAATAGTTTATTACTTTGAATTTGAAATTTAATAGACAGTTATAACTGAACCTTCAGTATAATAAATTAAATAACACATAGCTGAAAGGGTGATAGAGCAGATTGTTACCCCTCTAAAAGACAACAAAGCCAAAGTTGACAATTTTTTCTCAGGGTAACAATCTGTTCTATCACCCTCTCAGCTATGTATTATTTATATATAATTATCAGTGATTATATGAAACAATGAATGATTTATACAAGTGGTTTGATGTCATAAAACTTAGTTTGAATCATCCTATTGTTCTTTAAATAGCCTAAATCAAAGTAAGGAATATGAATGATATATTTGTTGGTGTTTTCTTTTATTACCAGTAAGAGGGAGAAGGGGAAGGGGGAGGGAGGCTACAAAGTAAAGAAATAATTATTTTTGATATCTATTGGCTAGATTTTTTTTATGTATGTCAAAATAAAAAAAAATTTATCACAGGAACATATTGTTTCCATCAAATTATTTACTATCTTCAATTTATTACTTTTGCTTGGTTTTTGTTTTTAAATGTGTATCATCATTACTGATTTAGGTCTGAATGGGGAATAATAATATATAGGAAAATGATTGAAATATTCAATGAAATGTATTTGATGTGTTCTACATGGATCAACTTTTTCAGTCTTATTGACTTAGCTTCATTTATGTATATATTTTAGTAAACAGACAAAGATATTTATGTGTGTGTCAAATGTACCCTTATACCTCCAACTACATTGATTTTGATTTATACATTTTATAAATGTGAATAATGGATATGTATAATGAAAACAAAAATATTTGGTGTTTTATTTTACATTAACTTACGAGATATTGGAGTGTTGAAGGAGTGAATTCCATGCAGGTGGAAGGCCTACAAAATCTCCTGTTTGCCTGTCAAAACCAACATGTACATTATGTTTGACCTCTGTGGGGCCAGATATACTCATGGGTTTGTCATCTGAACTAGAACTTTTCTTCTTTCCGAATGGCATTTTTGACAACATCTATAAATAGAACAAAACATAATATCTAATGGTTTAATCATTTGTACATTGTACATACTGTTCCCAATTGACACTTTTAAAGATGTGTTTGTACATGTACCTTTTTTTAAAATTAAATTATATGTACATGTACACCATTTAATAAGGCTGAATAAACACACATGTACACATATATACATATATAAATATTGATAGTATTAAAACTATCACTGGCCGATACATCTAAAGGTTGAAAACTTCCCTATTTCTTCATAGACTTCTGTTTCAAATAAAGTAATAAGCTGTTGACAGAGATAAGTCTCACTTTTTAGTAATTTTGATAGTACATGTATAAAATGACACTACTTTAACAAAACATTCAAAGTCAAGGAACCATGACTGAAGTCACAGGGCCAAATAATGTTCATGGAAATGAGACATGCCAATGACTAAAACTGAATACCAAATACCATTGACTTATCATAATTGGTTCCCTTTAAACTAGCCTCAACACAAACTTTAACATGTAAACTGTGCAAAAGTTTCAAAGTCATTTAACCATGATGAGGGGGCAGGGCCAATTAATCTCCAAAGAAATAAAAGTTGCAAATGCTAATACAACAGCATACCAAATATCATTGACTTAACATTAGTGGTTCCCCATAAACTGACCTAATCACAAACTAATACATGTAAACTAAGCAAAAGTTTCAGTCAATAGACCATGAATGATTTCCATAGAAATGAGATATGTCAATGCTAATACAACTGCATACCAAATATCATTGACCTTCTAGTGGTTTCCCTAATCACAAACTAATACATTGTTGATGCCCCCCAGAAACAGAGCACCTAGTATAGTCTCCCTTTTAGACTTTATGGCGAGACAAAAATGGATTAACATAAGGTTTGAACCCCTGCCTGCCTGCAAAACACAATCACAAACACACATACCTTATTAACTTCTTTCCTTTATTTCAATGTCTACAATAAATGAAACAGGGTTTACTTGTCTGATGTATCATACAAGTTTATTTATTATGAATTACATGTACATCATTATTTAATAACATTTACTGCCAAAACTGCTGTTCATGTACTTCATCAGGAATTTACTTCATTAGTCTTTAAAGAAAGACAATGTGAAGTGTTTGTGCATGTTGTGTAGAATGATAGGCATTTCCCATTGGTCTTTTGGGTTTTTTTTGTGTCTTCAGTTGCCTTCTGTGTCCTGCATATCACTCAGTTTGGTAGTAATAAGCATTGTGTTTAAGTTTCATAACATTTGGTTGAGGCAAACTAAAGTTAGAGAACGGAAACCAATTTGGGACATACATACAGACATTCATATGGACAAGAGTAAACCTTAATACACACTTTGCCTAGCTGCAGGAGGCATTCAAATATAAAAACACAATGACCATTTTTTTTTATGTTTTCACACTGTGTCATTATAAGTACATTTGTAACTTCATTTTGGTACATTTCAATGAAACTTCCTTTTATCCTGCTTGTTAGCAGCAATAAGTCTAGTACTTACTCAATTCTGGTAAAGATTTATTTATCACCTTTTTTTTAAGATAGTCCGTAATGATATCAAGTGACAAAACACATCTTACTAACAAAGTATTAACATCAGAACTGAATCCAATAAACATTTTACTGAAAGCAGTGATCTTTAAGGATCATGGTAATGTGATGCTATACATATACATGTATTGCTTGAATGCTTTGCTTAATGTACGAAGAAATAATTTTTTTATAGATTGGGTTATGGATTCTTCAATTTCCAGAAAATGCTTTTTCAAATTCCCTGTTTGACATGTTTACAAGGCTGCTAAATGAAATGTGTGTGGAGAACATCTGATAAAACATTTGTTATCTATTTTTCTTCTTTCTAGCAATTCATCTGTTTTTAAAACTGTTGTCAAAGATTTATAAAGCAATTAACAGTATTTTGTGATTAATGGTAAATTATTAGGGCTATATTCCAAAAAACTAATAGTTAGTCATTTGGCAGACCACTGCTTTTAATTTTAATTAATTTAAATACAAGATGTATGGATTGCTCAATCTCATTAGATAATTTTCAATACTTAGTAAAGACAATATGAACAAAAAATACATTGACCTTGAAACACTTAAAGGTTGCACTTTGTATATACAGCTGTTTCACAAACCATGCCTCTGTTGGGGAGATGTACAATGTAATTAAATCGTTGAATATTGTTTTTACTGGTATAAATATTGATTTTTATATCAGTAAATTAAAACCATACTAAATATTACACATATATACTTTCACAGTACTACAATCTGTCAATACCTATATTTTGGCATTGCACAAGGTCATGTTTTTCTCTGACTGTTAATGACGTCTTTACACTAAATCCATTGGATGTGTACTGATTGATATTTTAGTCCTATATACATGATTTTTTTTATTAGTTGTTATTGGCCTTGAGCTAGCTGTCAGTAACTGCGAGTACTCTCAGATTTGTACTTAGTGTCTTTTTTGTTGTTAGGGATGAGGGATAGATATATACCCTGCCACGTTCTGTCTGTGTTTTTGTTTGATGTTTTTCTTTGTATCGATCTGATGAGTTCAGCCTTTTTCAACTGATTTTTATAGTTTGTTCTTATGTTGTACTGTTACATGACGGTCTCAGGTTAGGATGGAGGGTTGAGTGCTCACAACCATGTTTAACCCTGCCACATTCTTTATGTGCATGTCCCAAGTCAGGAGCCTGTAGTTCAGTGGTTGTCGTTGGTTCATGCCTGTCTTATTTTTTTTCGTAAATTGTTTTGTTATAAATTAGGCTGTTAGTTTTCTCAATTGAATTGTTTCATATTTTTCATGTCGTTGCCTTTTAAAGCCGACTATATGGTATGGTTTTTTCTCATTGTTGAAGGACGTACAGTTGCCGATAATTGCTTACACCCACTTCATTTTAGTCTTGGTGGACAGTTGTCTCATTGGCAATCATACCACATCTCCTTATTTGTATAGTGTATAATATTCATAGATATTTTGTTTTGTTTACCTACCACTGCCTACTGGTTAGGCCATGCAAAAATGATTGTTTGTTTCCCCTAACCCTGTCGGGTCAGCTTTTACACTCCGGGTCAATCCTTTTTTTTTTTTGGGCAGAGGAAAAAAAAAATGTTTCTCTGGTTTCTTTTGACAATTTTCAATGATGCTTTTATTTAAAATTGTCTGCGGATAATCATTTAAAAGTGTGTAAGCATTATTCTCAATTATCATTCCTTTGTTTATATAGTTTATACCACAAGATAGAATGTAAAACAAGAATTTACTGTCAGGTTAGCAACAACATTCTCTGCTTTGTAAAACCGCTTTTTCACAAAAAAATAACATAAAATAAAAAGTTTTTCCTGCCTGCCGGTCCTTGATAATATTCACATGTTAGGGGAAACCAACATTCATTTTTCCATGGCCTTACTAGATATGATCTCTATGTTTCATCTCATAGAGACACAACTTTGGAATTTTAGCAGTATAAATACACATGATTAGTGGCCAAATTGAAATCTAAGGAAGACTCAAAGTGAAGGGAGGGGTAGTACAGAATTTTAGTATAAATTTATAATCTTAGAACTTTGAGGCATATAAATGTTGAAAATATGCTGCACAGCCCTGATTTGACCTTTGAAAAAAATAGTAGTGCATATGAACTTTCCATTCTAGGATATATTTTTTTACGAAACTTCATAGTAAAAGTGGCAGAGTTTAAGCTGTAAAAGGAGTTCCTATGGGAAATTTCTTTGTCTATATATACAGAAGTGCAACCTAAAGGAATGAAATATATACCGATGAAAAAACCCAGAGTTGTTCAAATCAGATTCATGTATAATCAAGCATCTGCACGAATGTATAAATGTAAATGCGTTCCCTATGGTATTGAAGTGAACATACCAAAGTACAATGTAAGGCAGAAACAGCCTTAATAAAAGCAAACCGAAGACCACTGTACATAGTATCTTCTAGAAGGCAATAATCATTTTTAAAAAGAACCATTAAAATATTTTAAATTAAGAAAGATTATGTTACAACAACAGTTTGAATTATTATTATTAGACAAGATCTCAATTACAGATTTTTATTTTTCATTTTCTGGCAAACCAAGTTCAATTGTATCTTTTATAAAAATGGATGCTGCAACAATTTAAATCAAAAGTATTAAACAAAACCAATAATACAAGTTTTCAAATTTCATCATTATGATATAAAACTGGAACAATATAGTTATTTAAGACTACATACATGCACAGTACACATAACAGATTATTGTACATGAAGTCATGATTAACTAATTCCCTCAGGCAAAAAGTAACAACATATCAAAAATGCATGTACTTCTTAATACTTTCTATATTTTACATAATATTAAATCAGTATATACCTGGCAGTAGAGTTCTGTAGTTTTGGTTTCCCTTTTTTGGTATGGGAATTTTGGAATGTCCGTTTCGACGTTTCAACTTCCTTGTTCAGAAATTGTACATTTCAGGTTTGTATCTATCATTCCAACCTATAATTAGAATAAATTACGTCATCATATCCATGGACATATTGTTATTGATACAGGCGTAATTACATATGTAACTGAAGAGAGTCTTAAACCTGTCAACAAGTGATTGATTGCAACATGGACCGTGTCAGAAGTAAAAACACGACCTATAAACAAACGCAACGAAAAAGAGTCATATTTAGCTATTTCATGAACTCTAAAAATATACGTAAGCAATCTAATGTTATTGAACTTATGAATTATAAAGTAATTCCTATTTTAGATTTACATTTTCACCTGTATTGGAAAAGAACTATACCTGTTCGACAGACGAAGAGTGTCAACTTACAAAAACTTCCTATTTCCGGAAACAGTCTCGATCTGATTTCAAGGGAGGCAACATATCATTTTCCCGCCATTTTTGCGAAACCACATCCAATTAAATTTTCGTTGTTACGCATGATCACTGTCATTCGGTATATCGAGAAAAATGATCGTGAAAGAATAAGTAACGGTCGTCAAGTCTTGCGATTGGGTCGTGAAAGATCTGGTAAAGGAAGGAAATCTTATCGAGAAGACACATGCAACGTCAGTAAATAATATAATTTAATCAATTATAATGACAAATATTGGAAAAATAAAACTGTCTGTCAGAATGGTTCAATATTATGATCAGTATCCGAGGAAAATCAAGGCTTGAAAATTCACCATTTTTACAAAACTACAAAAGGCAGATGGTGAGTTGAATCTGGTTTCTAGCTAGTAATACGCCAACTTTATGACAGTTGTTTAATCAGGTTCTGTAGTATTGCCAAAATGGGTGAGCAACTCATTCAGGCTGACATAATTGGTTAACGGGGCTATAGCAAGGATCCAGCAGCAAAAAACTAAGTAAACATACACCACAGATATGCAACACAACTAGATTTAATCTTCACGCCTGATATATCATGTACTGTGTTACAACTCTAGATTCTACTGACGAGGAAAGATAACACTAGGCCACCGAAAGCTGAATTTTTAGTTCAGTCTAGGTGGCCGATTGGTCTAGAGCGCTCGACACAGTGCAGGCGGTGTTGTCACGATATCCCAATAGCATAAGTTCGAATCCCGGCGAGGGAAGAACAAAAATTTGCTTCCGCAAAATTGCAGATTTAACATTGTTGTGCTGATATTTAGAGTAATTGTGAATATAATATGTGTTTTCAGCCGTGTATCACCTTCACTGGTGATCCAGTGGATGGATTTGTCACTTGTTTAGACGTACTTATCAAATAATTATTTCTGTGACTGCATCTTACGATCCTTTACGACGGATAATTTAGCTAATCTGCAATCAATTACATCTTCATGCATAATATATCATGTACTGTGTTACAACTCTAGATTCTACTGATGAGGAAAGATAACACTAGGCCACCGAAAGCTGAATTTTTAGTTCAGTCAAGCGGCCGATTGGTCTAGAGCGCTGGACACAGTGCAGGCGGTGTTGTCACGATATCCCAATAGCATGAGTTCGAATCGCAACGAGGGAAGAACAAAATTTTGCTTACGCCAATTTGCAGATTTATCATTGTTGTGCTGATATTTAGAGTAATTATGAATTTCAGCCGTGTATCACCTTCACTGGTAATCCAGTATTGTCTACACAAATTTACTACACAAACTTAGTTTGATCTTTGTTATTTTACTCAATAATTATACGTAGATTGGGGACGTTGAGTCAAGTACATGCGTGCGGAGTCAATTACATGCGTTAGAAATAACTGACTCTTTTGGACAAATAAAACGTTGCAGCTACTTTTTTGAAATAATGGCGTCTGTTTAATTGTATATAGGTAAAATCTATTTCACAGAAAACAACTATATGTTCCAATTGTCGAAACCACAACCACGTTCTCTTTTCCTCGAATGTGACATCATCGACTTAGTTGTACTTACATGAGCAACACGACGGGTGCCAGATGTGGTGCATAATTTGCTTACCCGTCCAGAGAACCCGAGCTCAACCCCATTTTTGGTGGGGTTCGTGTTGCTTAGTCTTAATTATTCTATTTTGTGTTTTGTAGACTGTTTATCTTTTGGTCATTTTTCGGTTTTTTGCCATGACTTTGTCAGTTTGTCTTCGACCTATGAGTTGTAATATAATTTTAGTATCTTCCCTTTCCAAAATGAACAAAAAATAAAATAAAATTGACGGGCACATATGTATATATTTTGGGCACATATATATTTTTTATTTATTCAATCAATAGGTACACTTGTTTCCGGATTTAACCATACGGTGTAAAAGCTATTCAAATTATATCCTGTTTCATTGCAACACGGAAGTAATTGTCATTTGAAATGGACAAAAGGTATACACAAAGTATGCATTTAAAGTTTCCTATTTTTTCAAGTGCAAAAAACTGATTTAACATTTATCTTTACGAAGAATTATATTAAGAAACTGAATGAGATATAGATTAAAAAGGAAGTCCATATAAGCCACGCAATATACAAAATAAGTAACAGATTTAAACACGTATAATTGACATGTTCTTTATACAACAAAGAAAACTTTGTGTATTTTGTATAATGCATAAAAGCCTATATATATTCACGAATACTATAGTTATTTGTGTTGGGGTTCATTGAATACCAGAGACAGTTATCTTATTATCACTTTTGATGTTATTTAAAATAATCAGTTTGTATCATCGGTGCACGGATAGATAAACGCACACACCTTTCAAATGTCATATTGAGATTTTATTAAATTCATACAATTAGAAAATATACATAAACTGAAGTTCTTATGAATTCCGGAAGATAAATTGCCGGTATGAATGATTTTCACCATTTCTCTCTAATTATCTTTTAGCTATCCAATATCATATTTGACAGTTGAGGTAAATCATATAAATTAGTGTTTAATTAATATCTGTGACATAAGATGAGAAACCATTTTGCTCTTGAAAGCTTTTAATTGAAAAGGAAATTGACAATTAAAATGCTTTTAAAGTAAAATATGATAGAAACGTGACAAATTAAAAAAAAAATGAACGTAAATTTTCCATAAGTGTACAAATATCGACATGCCTTATTTTTAGCAATTGTTATTTTGTGCTAATTTTTCATATTGTTATGACACTTCTGTATGATGCATGCCTCAAAAGTCTGAACAAACAAGTCGACGAGAAGAGGAGCACAGGAACGCACGAATGCCTGTCAACTGAACGTAACAAATACGTTAATAATAATAACAAATCTTTATGGTGTCAGTTAAAGAGAACTTTTTGTAGAATCGGGGTTGTTTTCTTCCTAAAACAAGTTATTTGTTTTACTTATTATGTCGATCTGTCTGAAAGATTAGAAAAAAGAAAAACTTATGCAGGCGCGGATCAAGGATTTGAGGTAAGGGGAGAGGAGAATTCAACCCTAATAATGTCGCCGATCGTATAGGCGTGAATTTGGTAAAGTTTCTTATTGCAAAACACCCCGATTTTATTCCAGTGTAAGGAGCGCGCCCGACGGTGCGCATCCTGAATCCAACCCCGACATGGTTATTGAGAGAGAGAGAGAGAGAGAGAGAGAGACATTTTGAAATTTGAAAATAGACTGAAAGGGTTGGGGCGATGGAAGTGTATAGGGTCTGACATGTTTCCACCGCATATGTTTGAACTCAGTTTTGTTTTATATAGTTGCCTTTTTTGTTCATTCAAGGTAAAACGTTTATCATTGATACGGTAAACATTTAAAAATTAACTGTTTAAACAATTTATATTTTTTTGAAATACTAAAGAATTTCTATCACAGGAAAAGACTAACTTAGCTGTATTTGGCAAAATCTTTTGTAATTTTTGGTCCTCAATGTGCTTCAACTTCGTACTATTTTTGGCCTTTCAAACTTTTTTTTCGAGCGTCACTGATAAGTCTTTTTTAATATCTAACCGTTATTTATCAGTCTTCGAATAGTGGTTGGGGAGCTTTTTTCATGCCAGTCGCCGCGAATTAAATAAGCCGTTTAGCGTAAACAAAATCACAATAGTTGGTTTTTTTTTATTTGCCAAGGATACATGTCAACAACTTTTGAATATATTATGCGCAATGCCATCAGCACAATGACCTATCATGGCCTGGGAATGGGAAAGGAATATGTTTCTAAAAACTTTTCAAAGATACCAGGCTCATAATTTGGTATGCGGGTTTTCGTCTAGTTAAAACTCATCATGGTTGTTTGGGATTAGAAAAAAACATAAGTGTTTCGGATAATTTAACATTTCATAAGCAGTAAATCAACAACAAAAAAATACAAGTTATCAATGATATTTCATGAGAACGCAAAAAGGGCTGACTACTGGGCTGGTGATACCATGTGGCACGAAAAACATTCACCGTCAGTGGCATCAACCTAGTGGTGTTAAAAACTTATAAAAGACCCAGGCTTTAAATTTGGTACACCAGACGCGCGTCTACTTAAGACTCATCAGTGGTGCTCGAATCAAAACAGTTGGATGGGCAAATCAAATACGAATTTAGAGAGCATTACAAAACGCAAAATTCCAAAACGTTGTACCAATACGACTAAGGCAATCATGTCTGCGGTTAAAACATTTGTGTATCGAGTAATCTATACTATTAAACGAGAAGACCTCATTTTGTGTGTCGCTTCTCTTCCTTCCCCAATAAATTAATCATCGTGCCTCTGTGTCCTATAGGTACCATGCATAGTCGCATTTGTAATCCATTCTTTAAATCTTATGATTATTCAGTTTGGGTTATTTTGGGAGAAAAACGAAGAAACCCCGGATATTGTTTCCGTCATCAGACCGACTTTTAAGTCATACCCAAGACTTCCGATTTTAAACTTTAAAAGAGGGGGTAAAGGGTTATTTTCGTGCAACGTGTTTTGCCACTTTTTATTTCACGTGCAGCCGTGTTTCTTGAAATCGATCAAAAGATCAATGTGCAAGAAATTTTTAATTGTTCGCTCATCGTGAAATGGCAATTTTATTTCGCGTTCTTCCGTGCATATACCCTTCCCCCTTTACTCCACTCTTTAAACATAATTTTCATAATTACTCGGGGACAGGACAATTATTTTCGCGTTATTCTGCATGTATACTATGATTATAATCCTATAATATATAGAGACTCTCTATATAATATAGCAGTGATCGCCGTGGAGAAAAAACTTGGAATTGATAGTTAAAGCAAATACACTTTATTTATATTATATGTATGTTCATAGTATACAGAAACGCGAAAATCAGTCATGGAATTTAACAGAGAGCAAAAAAATAACGGACTTTGGAAAAAAGGGAGAGGGCTTAAAATAATTGTCCTGTCTCCAAGTGCCTATGACTCAGTTTGATACCTTTTCTGAAATAC